TTTGTTGAACAAAGAAATAAAGGTCACCTACGATGCAAAATGCACTTCTCATGGCTTTTAAACATAATGTGTCTGTACACACAGACACGTTTAAAGTTTTGCTCCTGCTCCATCTATAAAACCTGTGGAAAAAATAGAAGACCCAAATAGGTTTGTAATTACAAGTCCCAAGCCATTTATGGATTTCATTGTGGTTCTGCAAAACGACCTTCAGCCAGCCATCCCCCCCTGGGACGGATGTCTGTGACCCAATCTCAAAGTTGGAGCTGTCAAGTTTTCAAAGTCTGTATGCTGCGCGAGCTGAGAAGAGGCACCTGTTGATGAGAGCTGAGAAGAAATAATGATCAAAGTCTGTAAACGTCTTATTGCTGATTGTTAACTTGAAAACTTGGAAACGTGAATTCTTGTTTTAGTTTCTTCTTTAATTTACCTCTGTTTTGACCCTGCCTGCCTTTCGACCCCAGATTCTTTGCCTGCTCATTTTCGGATTTGTTCGCCTTCCTGATTGCCACCCTGGTTCTGACCTCTGCCTGTTGACTTGTTTGCCCTCTGACAGATCTCCCGGTTTTGACCTTGTCTGCCCCATTGATTAAAACCTACTAGTTCCTTCCATCTTGGTCTGAGTCGTGCTTTTGGGCCCCGTCGTGCACCGGTACCAGTAGCCGTGACAGTACAATCTGGCCACTGTTACGGCTACTGGTACCGTGACAGTGGCCAGTGAAACCATCCCACGTTTACATCAGTTATTCCACCTTCAGTTACGTTGACATGCTGCTTCTCCTCGGTAAGTGTAACTAATAGTGGGTACTCATGAAAACATGAAGACAGCTCCTACACGCGTCAATATTCCATTATTATGATGAATTTCTTTTTTTCATCATCAAATATTAACCTTGCTACTGTTCACTAATCATCGTTACATGGATGTGTAGCTATAAAATATCTCTACACACATGACTTTGTCTGACCTCTGTCAATCACTTGTCACAAATGCAGCTGTCAAGATTGACGTAAAAGAGTAATGAGTAAAGATCAATTTTAAGGTTCACTGAGTTAAGGCGTTAATAGCAGGCAGGGTAAATAGTACTTTTTACTTAAGCTGTGATCTTGGTTGAAAATGAAGTACATATTGCTCCACTTCAAAACACAATTTTTCTTATGCGAGTCCTGTGTTTATTTTTTCACGATGAGATTTTAATGAGCCGGTTATTCAAGGGAAAGGTGTTCCTATAACTCTGTGTTGACATGCAGTATCGAGATGTGCGGTGTTAGTAGTGCTCAGCAGAGACTGAGGAACAATCCCATTTTTCCTCCTAAAGCCTTGACCCCTGAACCCTCAGCACTTCATGATGCCACCTTGCTAGTGGAGGGACTGCATGGTCTTGAAATGGTGTAAAGTCGGACGGCACTTTTCTGCAACATGTTACCATGACAATGTAAAAAAAACTAAACCAAGATGAGTTCATTTCAAATAATCTTTTGCCTTTTTTAGTGGTCAAAACAGCTTGAATTTAATGCGTTTTTATTTTCCATCTTCAACCCTTAATGTTTTTGAGTGAATACAAGTTGCCTCTTTCTTTACCTTTCTTTTTTGCGTTTGCAAGCTTCCAATGGTAAATCCCTCGAGCAAGGCCTAGGAATGCAGATTCAGGTTCATGGCGGGCTTTAAATGTGCGAGAGCCCTCAAACACTCGATGACTTGACAGTGGGACAGCCCTAAACCCTTTACAGGAGCGCGCATCAAAGTCCCTGAGTGTGTGAGTTTTGAGACTGAGAACTAATCCCAATCTCCGCACTCACGAATGCGTGCAAATTTAAAGTCCATGGGGGTTTAGGGCTGTTACCACTGTCAGGTCGCTGAGTGTTTGAGGGCTCTCTCGCAGACATTTTGAGCCCTTTGTAAACACTTTGCGTAAATCTGGGTTTCTGCAGACTTTGGAATTAATACATTTTTATCAGTGACGTGTGGAGTCTCTCACTCTCAACCATTTGACGGGGGATGTTGAACAACGGGTCAACAGTGGATCAACCGGAGACCTAAGTGAAGGAAAACAAAGAGGACGGTAGATATTACATTTGCACAGAAACATTAATGATTAACGATGAGTACAGAAAAACACATGTAAGTAGAGGGGTGCAGGCAGAGATATTACCCCTCTTTATTCAGCCAATATCTCATTTTGTAATAATCAGTAAATAGATTATTTGACAAGCCTGGAAGACATTGAAATCACGCCATAGACGGTTTAAAATAAATGCACATAATTGAACATAGCATGTTATGACATTATCATAACAACATTACATGTTGCAGCAATCTGATATCCCATTGCGTCAAGCATTTAGAGGCTCTCGAACTCAACCATATGATACAGTAGGTGGCGTCATTTAAACCCCTTCTGGGTTTGCGGCTTTTGGGCGAACACCGGGATCGGGCTTGTGACTGGCCCTTGTTGAATTACAGGCAGATGTGAAAGTGATAAGCCAAGAGAACCAGACCTTTCCAGACAGGTGGTAAATAGAGCAATATTTTGAGTTTTTATAACATTAGAGCGTGTAAACACTCATTGAAAATGTACATAATTTAAAGGCATCCCTAGATTCCTTCTTTGAATTACAAGATAAAAGGTCCAGCACTGCGCCGTCAAAGTAAACATCGGCATGTTTAAGCCTGGGTGGTATGGGTTTGGGCATTTTACTCACTTTTAATTATTCATATTTGAGTAAAGTGTATATTCCTGTATATTGCACACCACTTTTAGATTTAGTATTTAATCATGCAACATTACTGAATATATGATAATTACTGCAGATAAATTGAAGAAGACAAATACTTAATGGTCAAATCAATATTTTTGTCTCCACTTCTTTTAGCTACTAAGTACATAATTCATGCCGAGGGAGATATTTGTTTCAGATGTAATTCCCTGTATGACGCAGATACATTGTGAGCTGACCGAGCATGCTGGAGCCGTTGCACTACAATGTGCCTTTACCCAAGGGCACACAGCTCTCCATGGGATATTGTCTCCCCTGTGTGCAGCGCTCAGTTAGGATCACCCATTGCTACCCTACTAGTCAGCATATATGACATTATTAATCAAGTACGTTTCTTGAAGTGTGATACACAAAACAATGATACTTCTCGCATCAGTTAATATAGTGTAACTAACAGTTTTGACTCCTGTTCCAAAAAGGGACAAATCAATCCTTTGAATTATCGTTCTAAAAGGCTGAGCTAAACATTTAACAGGCAAGTCATGATCGTCTAAACCTAATTGTTTGTGAATAATGGTTTCCCTCCCCACCAAATGGTTTAGCCGTGGCTGTGTTGTGAGTGAAGGAAACATCCTGCAAATTGGCTTAATGCAAAAGTGATTTAATCAAACACAGCAGACAAAGTGCAGTGGTCTGGTGAGGTCCGTGTCTCTGGGTGCAGTGGGAAAAGCACTCCAAAATGATTTTGCAGAAAATGGAGTCCGAGCCGACCTTTGAAGTTTATCAGCGCAGGGCCAGACAAGACTTCAAATACCACAGTGTGTTTTTGCCCCAATCTCCTGAATTTTAGACAATGAAAGGTAGAGAAAAGGAAACCCTGTGCTATTTTTGTTATACACTCTACAAGCACACTACAAGCTGTGGAAGGTGACAAAATAAGTATTACATATTGATATGGCCTGCCAGGTAGACTAAAAGTACAACAAGGCATAACATTATTGGTGGTATCTGGTTAAATACACAAGTAATCTTCATATTAAAGAAATATGTGTGTACAAATGCTTTCATGTGTCCAGATGGGTGAGGACCTCAAGCTCAAATAAAGTGGCAGATGTTTTAAGACTGAAAGTGGGGTTTTTGCATTATGCATACCTCTTTCAATTTATTTCACTAACCGACCGATGGCTGGGGTCTTCATGGACTGGACATGATTATATGTCTCTGGTTTACATGGAAACCGTCATGAAAGAAAGGGTACATGCTTCCACCCTGTTTCCCAGAGGTTAACGAGCGTGTTAAGTGTTCTCCGAGCAGCACCACAGACAGCGTTGCATTCAAAGTCATTTTTATGGAAAGTTGTGTGGAAAATCAATCAATTTATCAACTGAGTGGTCACAATATCTTCCAGTCTCCTACATTAACCAGTATGCATACTGCTTCTCCGTAAAGTTAGTTAACAGTTTTGATATTTTCTACCATCCTTCCTGGAATATTAAGGTGTTGTTAATCACCTGAACCTTTCTAGCACCATGGACAGCAACTCCAAGGGACTCACTTTTGCCTGCTCTGGACACCATACTGGCTGATATTCATGGAACAGGTCAGATTAGAGAGCGCCAACATTGTTTGATGTCATGACGCAGATATCTCAGATACGCCTTTGCAAGATTCATGTGGGAAATTACATTAACCAAGCAAGCTCAAAACATGTTAAATTGTTCAATACTTCCTTCATTTTTTAATACAAACAAATGATTTAGAACTACTGAGCTTTGAGAATAACTAACTAACTGACATTTTAGGAAGTTTGCTTATTAGCTGAGAGTTGGAAGACAAGCACTTTCATGTAGTCATTAAAATCCAAATCTAGTCAACAGCTACGTAGTTTAGCATAGCTGGTAGCAGCTGTACCCTGGCTCTATCTAGGGAATTAAACTCAACCGGAAGTTTTAAAGCAGTCTAATAAATATGTAGCCCCCCAGTAAAACCATGACTTGTTGGTTCACACTCGTTTCTGGTAAGATATTCTCAAAATGACTGCACCACAACAGTACATTTAGACACATAAAGGGCACAAAAAATGGCTAAAAATAGAATAGTCCAACTAAAGCATTAAAGTTACTGCATGCTCGTTAGTCACTGGGCTGTATGTGTGGAAAAAAATTCATTACAGAAGAGAATTCGCTTAAAACCCATAGTGCCTGTTCAGAAATACGACGTGGCGTAGTTTAAATTAATTCGCGACAGAAGGCTACAGACATATTCGGCAGTATGAAGCCGCGCGAGCGCAGCGTGCTTCACCGCCGTGCGTGCAAGGTGCGCGCTCGCTGAAATCATTCGCGTTCTTTCACGGGGACACACCGCAGGGCAACAACGACTAACGCGCGCGTTTATATATATTTATATATATTCCGATAACGCGTCGCCTCGGTGCACGAGGGCTGGGGGGGCTTCTATCTCTACCCGAGGCGGAGGGAACTACGTCACTTCCATCGGCGATATCAGCCGCCGCGCGCTGGATGCGCCGCACACGGCAGCGCGCAGGGCGTCAGGACCGCATCCGTCCTCCGCGCGAGATGCTGCGCGAGCACAACACAACTCGAGCGATCCTCCCCGGTTCCGCGCGTCTCGGCGAGGAGGCGTCTACAAGCGCAGGCGTAAAAGCGGGGTAAACGAACTCCTCGGAGAAGTGATGGTCCGTGGTAAAGAGAACGTCACGAAGAGCCAACATCTGTAACTTTCGGATTTCCTTGCTTTACAGTGGATTTCTTTTTTTTTTTTTTACTGGAGATCGTGGGATATTCTTTGTGTAAACATGCCTGTTAGAAGAGGTCACGTAGCGCCACAAAACACATTCCTCGGGATGATTATTCGGAAATTTGAGGGGCAGAGTGAGTATTTTTCTTAATTTGCAATTGATGCTCCCTGATGGGTCACAAAACAAATGTTTCAGCAAATTAAGGGATAAATAATAAGTAATACGTGTAATGCTTTTTATTTTGCGGAGAAGAAAATCCCTCCCATTAAAAATATTTGATGTATATATATTTTCAATAAAAGCATTATTTTTTGTTTGTAGACTTTATTTCATAATAATGCAAATCTTGCCTAAATGTTTCATGAGATTGAACAAATTCACCACTGCTTATTTTTCTGTACAGTGTCATTGACCCTAATCAACTTACTTGCTGATCGCTTTCATGTGTAAACATGATCTGCCACATGAGTGTACAATGCATATGTTTTTCTTTGCGTGCAGACCGGAAATTTGTGATAGCCAACGCCAGGGTGGAGAACTGTGCGATTATATATTGCAACGACGGCTTCTGTGAGATGACGGGCTTCTCGAGACCGGACATTATGCAGAAGCCATGCACCTGTGACTTCCTCCACGGCAACCTGACCGACAAGGAGGCCATCGGCCAGGTGGCCCAGGCGGTGTTTGGCTCTGAGGAACGCAAGGTGGAGATCACTTACTACCGTAAGGATGGTGAGTAAGTGACCCGCTACATCAGTGTGGCTGTCGCGGAATGCTCGTTAGGCCGAAAGGGTCTATTGTTGTGTTACTCCCGAGGAAGCACCTACGGCAGCGCCTCACTCTGCCCATCACTCCCCGGTGCGGCCTGTCACCTTGTTACCAACCAGCCAGAGTCGGTTACAAGATGGGTTTCAGATTCTGACATCACCCCCCTGACAGAGGAAAACAGGGTTTGGCAGTTAACTCCTCGTGCAAATTGAAGTAGTCATGCTGTCAGGTAAAAGTAAAGATATATTTATAGACCATATAGACCAACTTTGAGCCTTAGTGTAAATTAGCAGGTTTGTGAATACGGATTTAAGAACAATATCTTTGTAAAACACAGAAAATATGCTCAATAAAACCTATTTGGGCTGGTGTGAAGACGCCATATTATTTGTGTTTATGACAGAAGAGGTGTATAACAGTAGCTCGGTAATATTATGGATAAATCTTTTTGACACCTGTATGATTCACAACATCATGTGCATGGATGATACAAAAAAGTCTGGCTGCCAAAAGGATGGTGAGGATCTCTTAGTTAGAAATAGGATGAAGCAGTAGGTGACACACAGATTCTATGCTTTAATGGACAGAGGGAGAGATGGTGGTAGTGAGACAGAGCTAAGCTGTAAAGTTCAGAATTTTCTCTTAATTTAACCTGCAATTTATGAATCTAAACACCCTCACGGTGCATTTCAGATCCATGACGTGAGTCATGACGTACCTGTGTGGTTTGCAACAAAGACGTACAGTAGACAGCGGATCAATCCACTCTTTTGTAAATTACCACAGCATTGGCAGTTTTGCTGTTCCTTCAATGCTGGACTGATGTTAGTCATTTATTTTGGGCCAATCCTTGTCCCAGCATGAATGGTGCACTGCAGAAATAGCAATCCTGAGTCAGAGGGTGTTAGTACGAAGTTATCACCTTGTCCCAGGATTGGCCGCCTCCTGTGATCCTCTCACAAGTTTTTTTATGGTCAACATGACATACACAGTCTGTAGAGAATCACAACCAGACCATGCTTATTCTCTTAATTACAGCTTGCATTGGCACCAACATAGACCAACATTTGTGTTTTCATCAGGGATATTGTTTACTCATATTTTTTGCTCTACCACAACTGCCAAGGCATACTTTAGTTATACTTTACTGTCTAAGCCGGAAGATAGTTCATATCTTATTTAATCATAATAAGCCTGGGGTTTAATTTTTAATTGTGAGTTTGATCTGATTCTAGGCCATGGGTAGACGGTTGATCTACAGTCAGTGGCCATGTATTATTTTTTTAATGTATTTTTAAGCTAATGAGGAAGAAATCAAAAGCCAGCTGCCACACTTCTGAATTAAATTGTTTCAGAAACCTGCAAGACGATTAGACAAGACCCTCCAGGGTATGTTTGTGAGGGCACGAGCAGCTTGGCTTTTGACACGTAGAATTTTAAAGCAATTTAATTTAGTCTGCCGACTCGCACGCATGTGCTGCACGCCATTGAAGCATCATGTGCCTGTTATTAAGTGTGGCGGATGAGAGCTCCAGAAAACTTCCGACATCATCGTTGTTCCGTCTCTTCAAAATCTCCCCCCCCCCGGTGTGCATCGCAGCTTCAAGACACAACACTTAATACTCCTCAAAGGAATTTCCAGTGAGCGCGTGTGCTCATGAATAAAGATGTCAAGGCAGACAGAGCAGTCAGGGAATGAGCAGCTTACAGGGTAAATGCATTTAACTGGCACAATCCACATGCTCCCACTGCTATGGGAGAATGAAAGATTCATGGCACCTTTGGGAGGGACGGCCCCGTTGATTCAAGTCGCTCTGCAAATTGAAGCTGATGCGCTGAAAGCAGATGTATCCCGCGTCGCCTCGCTCGCCCGTATTTCAAATTATTGGTCCCCAGGCAAATAACATAATCCCTCGTATTAAACCCCTTCTGTTTCCTATGCACCTACTGTAGATTCCAGCTCAGGCGGGCATGTTTAAGAAGAACATAAAATGAATCCAAGAAGAGCTCAGATATGTTAGCTTGTTCCATTTCTCCCTTTCACACAGATGATGCGGCCACTTTAAACACTCATTGACTTATGATCTACTGACATGCCTTAAATCAGGGGGTCAAACACGCGGGCGGTCGACGGTCAGAGGGGCTAGGAGTAATTTTCAAGCGGGTGCTGCTGCCTGGAGTAACGTCGTAGTCAAAAAGGTCTAACGCAGGGGTCCCCACACTTTTCCGGCTCGCAAGATACGTTTCAGAGCCCCAGTGGACCTTTTAGGAATAGTAGTTACTTTTATAAAAATGCAATTTATGTCTTTCTGTAATTCTCACAATAGAAAAGTCACCCGGCGGGTCGCACTGGACGCCCGGCGGGCTGGATTTGGCCCACGAGTTTGACACCTGTGCCTTGAATGCTTTAGTCTTAAGAGTCATTCCAATCGGACACAGTGTAGTTATTTTGTCCTCTCACATCAATAACTACAATGGAAAAAGTATGTTTGGGATTTGTGGGGCTCGTGCGAAATCAGGAGCAACAAAGCTTTGGCTTTTTCACAAAAAAAAGTAAAAGGTTAAGCTGCTTATATGCTTTACCATTAAAAAGTAGTGGAACATTGTGGACTGCGGCACCGCAGCAAAAGGCCTCCAGCATGAGGACACATTCATTTTATGTGCGAGAAGGTACCGCAGACACTGTCCTCCTCCTGCAATGATACCTAACTAATGAGATAAACGCTTTCCCCTGGTGGCTTTGTAAAGCGATCATTTTCCACAGGGTGTAATAATACTTTGTACCTGAATGACTCTTAACAAAAGGAAGCTGACACCGCGCAGAGAGAAGTTAAATGGAAAATGGCACCATTACAGTGGCGGCTTAGCTAACCGTGCTGAAGGACCGGGGGACATGTGGTGTGCGTGGGTGCAGGGTTTCATAGGTGACTCCCCACCGAGGGGACGGCCGGCCGGTGTGCCTCTGCTGATGGTTTAGTGGCAGGGGTCCCTACAGTGGACAAGGTGTCCTGCAGGACTCTTGGGTTACACCGTTCCAATTTAGCACATTGTTCATCACGCCGAGGCCTCTTTGGCGTTTTACAGTACGAGGTGAAACACACACTCGGCTTTCCCAATGTTCCATCTGCTAGATGGAAATCAGCTTGTCTAGCAAATTAAAATATGCCTAATGGGGTTTGCCATCTTTGTGCAATGAAAAGTGTGGAAACATGCTATCACTTATTCTCATTTCAAAGAAATGACACGGATACGGTGTCATTAGCAAACATTTGCATATTTATTTTAATGTGTGGTCTGCTGGCATTGCTTAATTACTACTTAATTATGATGTGAAACAGGTTTATTGCTAGCGAGGAGCAGCAGATGGAGTGTTGAATACCATATGAGTACAGGTCTAACTTTGCATTCGACAGGAATGTTCATACACCGGCTATTTTTATCTCATGGGATGTACTGGAGGTGGTAAGCAAACTGTCCTCCTCGTACCATCTGTGCTTTTCTTTTAATCAGTCACCGTATGATAACCTAAATTTAATTTCAGCATCCATTGCATTCAGTCCACCAAGATTTTCGCCAAATTAAACCGGAGAAAAGATCACAGCGCAACACTCCATGAATTGATAAATGTAAACACCAATAAAATGCAGTCTGAGCAGGAGCGGCTAGTTATCCCTGACGGCTCTTCAGACACTGATTGAAAATGAAATTAGGCCAGGCCGTGTAGCCTGCAGCCCCCCCGCTGAGGCGAGATGTTGCCACAAGGCCCAAGGACTCTAAACAAAGGGTTAGCTTGCATGGCCTCTCGCTACATGCCCCAGTCCAATTGGCCATGCCTCAGTAATGTTGCGTATTGACTTAAGCAGAACAGCCCTGAACAAGAAACATGTCAGATTCCATTATAGGAGACGTCCAACCGGGCAGCAGTCTGCGGCTATGCTGTTTAACAGCTCCAGTTGGGAATTGTGGTTTGTAGAAAGATACAAAAAAAATCAGTCCTTAACTATATTAGTCATGTTTCTCCCCAAAGCAAATCAGCTGATGCAGATTAATATGAAGCTGCAATGCATTAATTGAATAAAAGGATCCAAGTGAGAAATTGCTTCTCTTTTTTAAATGAGATGCTATACTGCGTAGATGAAACAGTACTACTCCATGTATTTGTGTGTCATCATCAGTTTCAACGCAACTCTCTTTGACCTGTGAGTCATTATTGTAAGTGTCCAAATGATCACTTGAATAAATAATTGATGATGGAAATAGAATCTACAGTAATGAAATTTCCATTGCGAAAAGGGAGCTACTCTTAATACACGGTCCATTCATTCAAGCACGTGGTAATAACATTTATTAAAGGTCACGGAATTAATTGAACTACTGTCAATGATGTTAACCTCGTCCAGCTGCTATGGACAGCAGGTTTGAGAGATATTATGTCGTCTTGCTGAGGTGAACTGATGTAGAAGAGCGAGGTTGCATAGCGTGAAACCCAAATATTCAGTAGTTTTCAGCAGCACGCACGCTGTAGGCTACAGCTTACACGTGTACATACAGTGTAATGGGGTCAGACGTTAATCAGGTCAAATGTAAAGGTTGACAGGGTACTGCAAAGTGCTCGGCAGATGATGCAGTGGAGATAGCACATACACAAGGAGGAAACACAAGAAAATGAGTGAATAATAAATCTCCATCCCCGTTTTAGAATGACGTATGTCACATTTAGGGGAATAGAGCACTGCAGATGAATAACGCATAAGCCGATTAAAAGAAAAGACCAATTTGAAGAAACGTGCAGAAAACCCATGTAGAAACATCCCGTGTTGAGTTACACAAAACAAATTTACCGTGTACAGAGGAAATGAGACAACATATTGTTGGATACAGCATGTTCGGAGCTCCACATCAAAAAACTTTATATCAGTTTACAAACAGTTTTCAAAGTTACTAGCCACCAGCATTTTCAACAGCCATGATTTTGTCAAATGGGAATTTTATTTGATTAAATCTTCTGCTCTAATTTAATTGAAACGAGATGGATAACTCTTTTAAATGGAAATTACCAATGCACCAAATCCAGAACACTTACAAGGCACAAAATACAGCCTGCCTCGACTTAAGAACGAGCCACTGGTCAGGTGTCCCCGATTGATTCCTCCTGTGTCCATCATCTGCGCCTTTGCAGTGTATTCAAACCACGTGTGTCGCTTGTCGGTTCATTAATTGTCTCTGTCGTTGTAGCTCCCTGCAACTTGAGTTTTAATATTGATTATAGTGTTTTTGTGGCTGGAGAACCACGAGCCGACTTCCGCCACTCTCCCGTGACAGTTAATTGGAATAAAAATCACGCCAAATAAATCAAAACTTGTGATTTATATAATCTCCCCAACCCAAATATCACCAGTAGCCTCTTTAACGGTGTTGGATGTCAAAATGAAGATGAATAACACAGCTGTTCCTAAATCAATGACTGGGGCTGCGTTTCTTTCAGCTCTTAAATAGCTCTGCAGATCACGCGACGCACCGCCTCGGACTTCAGCTGCAGGAGAGAAAAGGACTCTTTTTGAAAAGAATTACCTTTGTTCACCAAGAAAGACTCAGCAAAGACCCACGTTTACAAAATCATAAATAATGTAGTGGTGACATATTACAAAATTCCCTTGTGCTATTATAGCACAACAGTTATAAAGAAGCTTTCCTTTGATCCATATTTGGCAGAGGTGACCTTCAGCAGGAGACCAGATGAGAGTGGACCCCCCCGGCTTAGCCTTTAAGCGTGACCATTGTTCTACCTTCTGGTAAAGGTAAACCATCTCACCCGGAAAAGGGAAACCAGGGCCTCCTTCTGGAGTCCGACGTAGGAGGGGACCTCGTCACCACGTGGTCTTGTGGCCGGATTTTAATTCATAGCGGAGCAAAGCTCACTTAAAGACTTCACTGAATCCATGTGTGTGTCTTATCTTGAGTGGCTTGAAGGTTTCAATTGACATGGACATGTAAATTCCTGCCTGGAACCATTGTTGAATGTCATTCTCTCATTTCCTGTTGTTTATTTAATATTGTGTCCCATTTAAGTAATAATCCTATTTCTTACCCTGAAAAATGAGCATATTGTTTTTGCAAACCATTATGTTATGTTATTGATCAAAGTTTCTTCCTTTTATACTGTAGACAGGACAATAGAGAATTAAGTGAATGATTTCGGGAAATGCAGGATTGTTAATTTTTTCCTGAAAGGGGGATTTACTGGGGACGGACTCACAACTATCTATTTCTCTAAGCACTGCTTTTCTACCTCAAGGCATAATTTAACCAGATAACCAAGCGACTATTAGAAGATGTTTGCATTATATAGATAATATGGATTTATTATCCACAAACCTCACATACACATGCTATATACAGTATGTATTCACATTAATTCACACCATACTGTTGGAACGTTGAATTCTACCCACATTCTCAGAGTTGTTTTTTAAAGGTTTTTTATTGTCTGCTCAATAGAAAACGACATTATCATACTCTCCGTGACAATGCAGCATCACTTCTGTGATTTGATGCAGAAATCCTTCCAGCGGAACTCTGGCGCGTTAAGGCCGAACAAGCTCGTTATATTCAGTCAGACAGCAAGTCTACGGCTAATGAATGCTGCCGGCAGGGTGTCCGTGAGCCATGCGGAGATTACAGTGAACACGGGTAATATGTGTCCTCTGTGAGAAGCAGCAGCACACCGAGCCAGACGTAAGGACAGACAGACTAAGAAGCAGTTAGTATCAGATATATTAATTCACCGCTAAATATACTGAAAAGATGTACTAAACTTTACTTTTAAAAACACATATGAAGTCATTTTTGATTGTGTACTGAGTGATTTCATGGTATCTTTTTTTCCTCCAGCAGAGATGGTCGCTGTGATATTGTATGTCAGCCTGCTTTCAGAGGAGCGATTGTGTTGTTCTTTAGGGTCCAGTGAGTAACTCGTTTCATTGGTGGGCAGCTCTGCCCTCAGGCATCAGTGGCTTCCACCCTCAGCTATAACCAGTTTAGCTGATAAATTGGTACATTCGGGTCTCACGACTAAGTTTAGATCGTGGATGGTTTTCTGCTCCACGGCCTCACGCAACGTCGGTCTCAGTGATCGTGCCTATGAGCACATTTACAATCCTCTAAATTGGCTGTAATCTGTGCTGTCTGTTTGATATGTTCTACTAAACCCTGCTGTCCGCCCGACGCTGTGGCGCGCGCATTGTCTTTGTCGAAAGTCTGCTAAGCTTAGTTATTTCCATGTATTGCTAATTAAAATACTTTATCTGAATGGCACATGCAGCACACATACACATATGCCCTGTTTAAACCCCTGGTATAAATGATTGTGTCTCTTTTTGTCACTGACACTTTGTCTCTCTTTCAGGGTCTGACTTCCAGTGTAACATTCACATAATCCCAGTGAAAAATGAGGAGGGCGTGGTGATGATGTTTATCTTAAACTTTGATTACATCGTGGATGGGGAGAGTGACAACTCCACAGAGAAGCTAAGCCCAACGTCGCCTACAAAGTCAGATCAAAGTGAGTATTTCACATACAATTCTCTCCTTACTGTGAAATGAGTGTGCCTGAGAAGGCATTGCTACAGAGAGAGATTCTAAAAATAGAAGGGCCGTTTTTGTCGCAGCTGCAATGCATTTGAAATTTGATTTTCATCCCACACCAGTATTTTCCCGGTAAAAACTTCTTTCATGAACAAAGCAAAAAATGTGATGGAGAAGAAAAAAAAAATAGCAAATCAAATATGATACCGTACCCGAAGAGTTATGGCTGGCATGTTATTTGTCATTCTTCTCTTACATTCTCCCTCTTCTTTTCCCCTCCAAATAAAACCTGTGCACATTTTGTGAAATGGCACTATTCCTAAATAGAATTAACTTCAATAAGACAAGCACTTTAAACCTCTAGCACTAATTAGAGCACTAGAGCTTTGCATTCCATTCCCTGAGATGCTCCTCTAAAAGACGATGCCATCCTATATTATTATCGCACATGTATGATGATGGAATGCACTGTGCACACGCAGGGAATGAGCAGCCTGCTTAAACAACCCAATCTTGTTAAACAGTTCATTACTGACCGTAATATTTAGTTTTGTGTCTTGAGGGAGAACTGCATGTATATGCAGGATGTTTTATTAGGATTTGTGTCAATAAATGTCAGTGAGACGTTGCAGCTCCCCACTCTATCGAGGCATTCAGTATCTCCCCGCTGACCGGAGCTCAGCTTTACACTCCACTCAGCATCCAGGGCGCTGACTGCATTTGCATCTGTACTGTGTGTATGCCCCTATGTAAGTTTGCACATGCATGCATGCGTGTAGTTTTTCCCATGTGTGAGCAAGTGCTACTCTGTCTGTTGCATGTTGCTAACATTGCTAATTGGAGTTCATCGCTTGTGAGCGTGCTACAACAAGGGGACATGTGGGTAGACAAAAATAGGATGTGACTTCTGATTAGAAGGAGTCTTGACTACATGCACATATCGCACTTTAAGTATGACCTTACTATTGCCTTCCTCTTTGAGCAGCCCTTAGACAATACGAGGTCATAAAGTGTAATCTTACAACGTATTTGATTTAATGAAAGACTCATGCTTGTGATTTAGCTATGGCGCTCCATACTATAGGACCATATCACGTGCACACACTGTATTGCCTTATTCTTATTTTCCATTCCATATCCAGTGTTTGTTGAGGATGTGTCAGGAAGATGAATGTATACAACGTCAGCCAGACCTAAATAGAGAAAAAAAATTGATACTGTCGAAGAGATCAGGGTGTTGTGCCTCTGTAGCAAAATAAAATGTGCATGGTTTAGCATTTTAGGTCAAATGATATAGGAGACCACTCCCATAGAGCCCAGCCATACATTAAGGTGTTGCAGCTTATAATAAGGTATTTTTAGACATTGGGGAACTAATTATGATCTGCTGTAGACAGCAGGCGAAAAGCCCTGGTTACAACTGGCACAATATTGAGCCAACATTGAGGGAAATCTCTCTTTCTCTGAACTGCCATCTAGAACACTTGAACATGCCTTCAGGGAAACAATACACTTACAAATTGCTCAGCAGAAAAGATTCTGACACAATTTAAATATTGTTGTTTTTGTAAAACGATATTGAAACTGTCACTGTAAAATGTAAAAGTAAAGTTTTTATAGCATAATAAAAGAATCTATCTTTGTGTGGTGCCATTTTCTATTTTATTTATTTAGGGTGCACTATATACAGTATATGTTGGTGGTGGGTTTGGTTGTGATCATTGGTACTACCATGTTTTACTTAAACCACTAAATGCACCCAATAAAGCTCAATAGCGCTAGACTTTTCCATACCACATTATGAGATCTTCTATAAACATTGAGCCGCAGTAACCTACCAGAGTATTGATGCAAGTGCATCAAAGATTGTTCCTATCACCTGCCAGCTCAGAATATCATCAGGTTCCTCTCCAGGAAACTAGTTGAGCGTTGAGGCTCCATTGTAAGCTGCTATAGTTATACGGAATGGCAATAATGTTATGTAAGGAGGCTGGTGAGAGATGGGTGCCTCACAAGTGAGACAAGATTCACTTTCACCCTCCTTCTATTGTTAATGAACCAAAACTGTCCCAAGCGGTCATTAATATCTGCTAGTGTGTCCCTTGTGGAAACTTGGGGTCTATACAAGAAAATTGGGGGAGGGTTAATAATAAGTTTATTGTGCAATCTGCTTTTTCACACGCTCATGGGCACTGAAAGGCAATTTGGCAAAAGCACATCTGTTTAATCTGTCTTCATTTTAGTGCACTGATCTGCGAACACAGCAAATGCTTAACACCGGAGAATAGAATCTTCAGCAAAACATTGTTTTATTAATTAAAAGACATGAAGCTCCCGTTACAAAAAGTCTTGCAGAAATAAGAGAAATTGGATCCCCTTCTTGTCAAGTGACAAACGCGGCATGGACCTCTAATAAAAGATTCATTATAAATTAACATGGAGGCCTGCACACTCATAAGCAGAGCCAAAATCTGTTCATTTCATTATTTATAAGCGGACATGTTTCAGAACCTGATGTTATAAACGTGGGGCCTCCACTTAACTCTTATTACCGTTTTCTCATTACTGTATAACATCATTAATAATAGAACTTTGCTAATTAAATATACTTTGATAATACCCATCGATCCTTTTGTCGAGAAACAGGGTTTGGTTCTCCTCGTTCCACTTTCATGACCTTTACAATTAATGGAAATTGATCCGTCAATATAGTATTTGATAAAATTGCATAACCCTAACCCTTCTGTGTGAAAAACAATAATACCAAACGGTTGATATGTCCTTTTGTAGTAGTGATTTTAAGATATATATTTTAACATTTAATTATCTTTGTACAGGTTTGTTTTTTTAAATGCAATGTTTCGTATCGTGCCCTAATTGTCTGAATGAAAAATAAATGACATATCGCTAAACATCTGAACGAGTTTCAACAATGTGCTATTACTTATTATGTATTTTGGTATTTCTTCCCTAAAGCGATATATATCAACTATTTGCTAGAGACCTTTATTGTAATAACTGCTGGGTCTGTTGAAATTTAGGGTTAAAAAAAGATATATTTTTTAAATTATAATGTTCCTGACCTGTTTTCTTGTAATTTTTCACAATTTTCAGGAAGGAGTAGGTTCTTCCGCTTCCGCCACGCCGCTTTGAGCCTAATGAATACGAAACAATCTCTTCCGCAAGAGGACCCGGATGTTGTGATGGTGGACCCGCCCAAAGAGAATGAGGGCTCAGTGGCCCTGCCGAGCTTTCCGTCACCCACCAAGAGCATTTGCAGTCCCATTGAGATCGATGACACGCATGGCCTCATAGGCTCGAGCCGCCGCTCTTCCCAGGCCAGCGTCGGCCCTGAACCACTCGGCCATTCATCCCCTAAACACCTCTGGGACAAGCTGTACCAAACCGAGCCACAGCAATCTTCCACCACCCTCTCGAACACCTTTCCCAGAGGCAGCACCAACAGCATGAGGCGAGCCTCATCCGTCCATGAGATGGAGGCCTACAGCTCAAATTCCAAAAGCGTATTCAAGGATGGTCATACCAGTGAAGGTATGTACAGAACTATGGTGTAAAAGTTGGGCTTACAGCTCCAGCAGCTATTGGTGCAAAGTTCCCATCTGGCCCCTCCATCCCATTTGCATTAGAAATGTTGTCTTTAAAAGTCACATTCGACAGACAACATTTGTAAGCAGAGACACTTATCTTAACTATCATTTTATTTAATCTAAATATTACATTGTTTGTTCTTAAGTTGCTCTGTCCACAAAATGCTGAATGTGAAAATTGCTGGATTAGTCAAGTGGGGTGGCTCCATTAAATCAGACCAAATAGTGAAAACCAAGTTTTGATTTAGTCACATCGGGTTGTATCTGCTCTCATCACAAGTCATTGTTTTTATTCTAACCTGCATGAATGTGAACTTGTATTATGTGACAACAGTGGCAGTTGTTCTAACTTTCTACTCTACACTTTAATACCCAAACAGTTCAGTGCACAGTATCATTGTGTCACCATAGTACCCTGAAATAATGAAATAAGGTGAAGCACCTCTTTAAATATTTGTCAGATCTAAAAACAATACCCTTACATTACTGTATTAACTGTATTTTTAAGCTCTGCTCACTACATAAAGTGATACATTTTAAGTATTGTGCCACTGTTCTGTTCTAAACCACCAGGCGCCTTTAATCATGTTAAATCCAGCCTGCTTGGCTCTACGTCGGATTCAAACATCCATAAGTACAGCACCATCCAGAAGATCCCTCTGATTGCACTCAACTTCTCTGAGGGCGCTGATAAAAAGGCTCATTCTCCGCCAACGCCCGAGACAACTATCATAGCACCAAAGGTCAAAGACAGGACCCACAATGTCACAGAAAAGGTCACGCAGGTGAGTCAGTGCGTTTCCACTTGGTTTGATATTACAGTACATTCTAAACTGTAGGCAAACTCCACAGACATAATCACACGGCCTGGAATTTAATACTCGATAATCCTTTGTGTTTCCAACATAATTGGCTATGTTTGACGGGCGGTAGCTGGCAAAGTCATTATCTCTTCATCCCCGCACTAACTCCAAACGTAGTCATTTAATGGGGCACCTCAAAGGTGGGCTGTTGGATAATGTGTTGAAAAATGACATCCCACTGAGCCCCCATGGAACGATTTCATCTTTTTACTTGCAAGCCTTCTACAGAGATTCAGTGTCCTGCTCAAGGACAATGCAGCAGCAGGAATAACCCTTTCTGTCACACGGGCGATGTAGTCGCACAAATCCCCGCTGACAAGACCAGAAACACGGCCGATGGAGAGTTGCCAAGGCACAGCGTCCAACACAATTTGAATTAATGGATGTCTGCGTTTCACTTGATTATACGTGCATTAAACGTCTTAGGTTTAGGTAGAACATTGTTTGCTTTGTGAAAGTCAAACAACAACAGGGAAACCGTACACTTTTTCGGCAATATCAGCAATAACCGAGCACAAGAGAGGCCCAGGGACGTACAGTCTAAACTTATTCATACGTAGACAAACCATCAACATGATTAACCTTAGTGTTACTAACTAGGGAGCCCTAAGATATTCTTTTTATCACATCTCACAGGTGCATTATATTATTATTCCAGTCGTCATTTGTTCCGAATGAATTTTTTCCCTCATTGTCATTGTTTTTATAATGTCATCTGAATTTGTGCTCCTTAAACCAATGTTTTCATACCGATGTATTTGGGTCTTTGGGCACGCCAGTCAAAAGCGATGGAAAAGCATTTTTATTAGATGTCATTTATCTTTGACCGGCTGTCAGCCGCGGGTCCTGGTTCAAACTGCCCCGCACTCTCACTGGCATTCTGTCAGGTATTTGGAAGGAGACAGACACAGAAGCAGCCGGCACAGATTTCCTCATGTTCTGTCTATTTCTGTCCTACACAGTATGCAAATTAACTGTCAATTATAAAATAAAATAATAATAATCCGTCTCATGGGACCGCAATTGGTAGTCCTTGAATCTTTATTATGTAAGTAGGATGACAGCAAACCGCCTTCCCTCCCTGCTGACGTTAGTTTAGAGTTTTGAGATCTACTTCCTGACTGCTAGCTGGGGACATCTATAATTCATCTGCGGAGGATAGGGGGATGTATACTGGAATTAATAAAAAAAGACCTGCCGAACTCCTGCACTATTTTCCATCCTCTTTCTGTGTCTGCTACTGCTTATGAAACAGGGATTTGTGGTTTCCTGATCACAGTGAATAATCATTAGATCATGAGTTCGGGAGGTCAATTAGAAAGGACTTCTGTTTACCAAAATATATGTATAAACGTGTCTATCAGCACAGTTCATGACGCTTCTCTATGACGCCAAAGTTCAGCAAAGTACTCCAAGGTTTTACTAAGAATATGGAATAAGCCACCGGCAGTCAGTGAAATTATTTATGGGGCTGGTGCACGGACGGGTCATCTACTTGTCATCCTGGAGTGGCTGATGCTGTTTGACTGCAGAGCACTTACCTTTGTATGTCACAGTTGCTGTCAAATCAGTCCTTGAAGGCTTAAAGCTGTTGAAATCACTTGCTGGGCCTCAGCCATGATGATCATAAGTACTTGAAGGTGTCTTTGATACAAGTGTCAAAAGGAATATCAGCAAAGAAAAACACTGTTAGCATCAATTTAGAAAATTCAATTTTTCAGTAATTCAATCAAGATGTTGATCCGCAATAAATTGAAGAGGCGTTTAAAAAGTGGACAGCTGTCATCGGGTGCTTTCCCTTCCCGTCGTGACCCTCGTTTACCTCTCCTCCAGGTCCTGTCACTCGGAGCCGATGTTCTTCCAGAGTACAAACTCCAGACCGCCCGCATCGACAAGTTCACCATCCTCCACTACAGCCCCTTCAAAGCTGTGTGGGACTGGCTGATTCTGCTGCTGGTCATCTACACTGCGATCCTCACTCCTTACTCTGCTGCTTTTCTTCTCAATGACACAGAGGAATCGAAGAGGCGTGAATGTGGATACTCCTGCAGCCCGCTCAATGTAGTGGATTTGATGGTGGACATCATGTTCATCATCGACATCCTCATTAACTTCAGGACCACATACGTAAACATCAACGAGGAGGTCGTCAGCGATCCAGCTAAGATAGCGATCCATTACTTTAAAGGCTGGTTCCTTATAGACATGGTGGCGGCAATTCCCTTTGACCTTCTTATCTTTGGTTCGGGATCAGATGAGGTACGCTATCTCTAAAGCATGTATTTCTCATGTGGGTTTTTTTTCTCTCCCAGGGAGCTTTGCAGCACAACAAGCCTGCCATGTTTGCTGTGTTATCCATTCACAAAGTCCAGACTTGTGCCCATGGGGCCCTATTAAAGCCCGAATCTTTCTGTCTCTGCTTTGAAAGGATTACTTTAAATTGCATGTTTTTTCATACTTAATTCTTTTTTTTTTTTTTGAATGGTCCTCATTCTAGAATCCATTTACACGGATTAATGGCTTACCAAATGGCAATCAATGATGCATTTATGTGAGGAGCAGGCCAACAGGGCTTGGTTGCACAGCTTACATGCGGATGTGAGATGGCCATTGGTAGGCCGGGTGCCAGGCCTGCTCGCTGGTTTGTGGGTAGGATGTGACCCCTCAGGCTCCACTTCAGTGCTTTATCATGCTTTGTAGGCACTCTGTTACACCAGAAAAGCTCCTGATTATAACCCATAATAATCTTTTCAGCCGTGGTGGCTGCTGCTGAGTCAGTTCCCTGAATCACAACAAATCAGAAGGAAAATGGATGTTTGTTTCTCCAACAAACACAGCGTACCGTGAGAAAGAAATCGCAAAGCTGCTTCAAAAAGTTGCGAGTAAGACATTTTATCTTTTGCCGCTGGGAAATCCATGCAAACAATTTTACGTTTTGATTAATAATAATAAATAGTATGTCTTTGTAGTAACACGTTGCTACATTGTTAGCAGTAGCTAACAAGCGTGCAATCAATGCTCTTTAAACTGACATACAGGTCCCACTTGACGGCATTCTCGTTCACAAAATAAACAGCTGAGACAGTGGCAGATGGTTTTCACAAGGCTTGTTTAATTTAGTGCTGTTCAGCTGTATTTTAGTTCAAAATGACTTCTTCAGGTATGCAGTGTGTTAAAGTGCAAATAATATTCAAAAGTAGCATATCTGTTCAAATATCTTGGATACAACTAATGAAAAAATGTCAGCTTTAAAAAAAATGTTTTTATTATTTTTAACAAAATCAGGATTTAAGGTGACGGAGTTGTTAAGGAGAGTGTGCCAACATTAGCTTGAATTTATTCAAAGGTAATTTGCTAATTGTCAGGTCGATAAATGACTATTGACCAATGGGAATGGGAGTCAGTGCTGCTTAACCCGTAAAGCAGCAACAAACTCGCAGGGAGCCACAGAGAGCGTTACTGCGCATTCGGTCTGGAATAATGAGGATTTATCTGTGAGCTGCTGGTGTCTCCACGGCTGTGTTCCGTTGCCTTTGAAGGAAAAAGCTGTGGGGAGTATCCACAATGGATGCTTTGTCTGTTTTCACAGTTGCCAAAGCTCATTACCTCGGTTCAGGGAGTGATCCTCTGTCACCGCTTCAGATTTGTTGTTGATTAAGACACATGTCAGAGGAAGCGGCTTTGGTAGACACGCCGGCCAATTAAGATTGTTTGTCCTATTGACAATTGCGTGACAAAAGACATTAGCCATACTTACCGAGATGTTTTAAAATACAATGAATGTATCGGAGTATCAATTAAACAAGCTGCCGCCTCACTTACTCATACAAATCCGTGCTGTACTTTCTGTTTAGACCACCACTCTGATTGGCCTGTTGAAGACGGCCAGGCTCCTGCGTTTGGTGCGTGTAGCCAGGAAGCTGGACCGCTACTCTGAGTATGGTGCTGCCGTCCTCATGCTGCTCATGTGCATCTTCGCCCTCATCGCCCACTGGCTGGCCTGTATATGGTACGCCATTGGCAACGTGGAGAAGCCCTACTTGGAGCACAAGATTGGCTGGCTGGACAATCTGGGCGTGTCTATAGGGAAGAGATACAACTACAGCGACCCTAACTCGGGTCCCTCTATCAAGGACAAGTATGTCACGGCCCTTTACTTCACCTTCAGCAGCCTGACCAGCGTGGGCTTCGGAAATGTTTCACCAAACACAAACTCAGAGAAGATCTTTTCCATCTGTGTCATGCTGATTGGATGTAAGTATGTTTTGGTCTTTTTTAATTCATCTTATTTTAGCATAACTGTATTCTGCTCTTATCCTGCGCTGCATTTGAAGTAAACTAAGCTCCATTTGATCTGTTGCATGTATGTTCATCCTGGGAGATGGATCCTTCCTTTGTTCCCGAGGTTTCTGTAACGTGTCCCAATTAAGCTTTTAAGAGTTGTTTCTCTTTCTCGGAATCGAGGGTCTATGAACAGAGGATTGTGTGCTGCACAGACCGTACATGTGGAGAATTAGAATTATATTACATGAACAAAGATTTGACTTCGGCTTGACTAGACAACTGACATCTGATTTACTTGATCATTCTTTGCATTTCAGCTCTCATGTATGCCAGTATTTTTGGAAACGTCTCTGCCATTATCCAGAGGTTATACTCTAGTACGGCCCGATATCATGCTCAAATGTTACGGGTCAGGGAGTTCATACGCTTTCATCAGATCCCCAACCCACTGAGGCAGCGGCTGGAAGAGTACTTCCAACACTCCTGGGCCTACACCAACGGCATCGATATGAACACGGTAAGTAAAAGAGATCAGCACATCTAACTGTTATTTTAATTGGACAGCAGCCGATAAAAAAGGAACTGATCTTATTGAAATACTTAACATGCAAGATTCTAAAGAGCTTTCTTTCTCTTGTCTGCTTTTCATTTGGATTAACATCCCTACATTGGTAAGAGCAGGAGGTACATGTTTTTATTTCTTGTCATTTCTCTGTATCAAGACATACTTACAGTATGCATGATTTCTGTGAATTCATCAGAAAATTCTAGCATATTTCATATTCTAAAGAAAAGTCAATATTTTTTTAGGCGAATTATGTATTACTTTTAATGTGAGTGTATTACTTTTAATGCAAGTATATATTGTAATTGTCCCAAATTTGAGATTGTAACAAGGGTTTTATTCCAAGGTAATTTAATGGAGGTAGAAAACAATCCATTTTGGATTGACTCGAGACATAGAAGTGTAGTTATTTAAGGCAATACTCACACATTAAGGCTTCATAATCCCATTTATTGGCTCCTCGTTCATCATTTGATATGTAATATATGCTACATAGTGGGATAAAGCATAAATGTTGTGATTATTAAATGTGACTACTGGTAAGAGAAGTCAGTTTTGAGTAGTGAAGAATGTCATGCAGTCTTAAACTCAGATTAATTAAGGGTACGCAAATGGTAGTTTCTTTGTTGTTTGCATTATATCACAAAATGCACTTTTCCATAACTCATATATGATGTGTTAGAGTTTAAAGAAAAGAAAGAGAAAAAGCCAAAACTGAGCATGCGGTTTGTGTTTTGTGGGTTACTCTTATATATGTGACATTAACACTGAAATCACAAATTGTTATATATGAATATGTTACGTATATGACTGTGTCTTAATTAAGAAACAATGTAGTATCCCATTACATTTGTGGTGGTTCTTCCATACAATACACTGTGTGACTATCTGATGTTTGTTTCTCTCATATGTCCTCATCTCTGTGCTATTGTCAAACTAAATTACAACTTCTCTTCCTAAGAGTACATTCATCTTAACACATTTGCTGCTTCACAGCTTCCCGCTGGCCCGCAAAACAAATCTTAAAAAAAAAAAAACCTTAATATTTCTCTGCATTTGGACTCACAGATTTTCTCTGCATCACAGGTCTTGAAAGGTTTTCCAGAGTGCCTGCAGGCAGATATCTGCCTTCACCTCAACAAGAGTCTCCTTGAAGACTGCAAAGCATTCCAAGGAGCCTCCAAAGGGTGCCTGAGGGCCCTGGCCATGCACTTCAAAACCACTCACGCGCCTCCAGGAGACACGCTGGTCCACAGCGGCGATGTGCTCACCGCTCTCTACTTTCTCTCCCGTGGCTCTATTGAGATCCTGAAAGATGACATTGTGGTAGCCATCCTGGGTAAATACAACCCTTTGCTGCTCGTGTGAAGTATGATAGTGGAAGACAGCGATACCATCACACAGCGCTGTGAATAACCGCGAATGTCGGTTGGTCATGTGTAGAGTGTCAGCATCAAGGCTGTTGAGATGAAGACAAACGTCCTTATTCCTTCTGCTTTTGTCCCTGTCGGCTCTGATTGATTGGAACATTTGCATTATTGATTGAGCCGACATCCTGCTTTCCCCGAGATACTCGAAGTTGAGATGCTGGAATCATCAAGGACTTAAAGGAGGCTCAGGCTGACATCAAATAATTAAAGGAGCAATAAACAACATTGAATAGAGCAGCTCACAGCTATGAGCTGTATATAAATATAGTGGAGTTATGTCTAGCTGAGCAGAGAATCTGTGTACGTTGCTCTTGCTCTGCTGACTTGTTGACGTTCTTTAGTGTATGTTGAGTGTGCACACCTGGCTAATTCACGGTCAGTGCGCTGCAATGCTCTCATATGGCAGTTAAGTTGCTGATGACATCTTTACGAATGACTGCTTTGTCGTTAAAGCGTAGCGCGAGTCTCTAGGTGCCCTTCAGGTAGACACCGTCTCCACATTTTTTAGCATTGATAAGAACTGTTTAAAGACAAGATTCTGAATCTTGTAGCTTACACCTTTAGCTGAATCCTTTTCAAATTACCGTGGCAGCTAAACCACATTGTGTTCACATTTTTTTACAAGAAGGTCAAGGTGTGCTTGCCGTCCCCCGCGTCAGTCCTCTGGGCAATAAGGCTGTTCATTTGACAAGCCTGGCATTTCTATTCAGTGGCTCTTTGAAAGGGTGTTTGGCAATGTCAAATAAAATGGTGAAATAGCTGCCACTTTTTTTGACAGCAAAGGGAAATGATTTAAATCTGAAAAATATAGATTATAAATAACGGTCAGAGTAAATTGACTTAAAACATTTGCTGGATCCAAATTTGAAATACATTTCCTGCTATCAGTATAGTAACACTGATTGTATATTCTTATTAGAATAATGCGTGATGATCTTTACGGGGGAACCACAGCCAGGCGCTGCAGGCCAAGGATTAAACGTGAAATTAATGCTCTTCAGAGCTATTAATGACAGAATAGGGTTCATGCTCAGCAAAAACTGCTGCATCATTCAAAATCCATCCAGCAAACCAATGATCACGGATCTCATAGATAAGCCCCTGCATAATTGATACACATATAATGCTCCGTCTGCATCATTTTTCTCCAATATGTTTGTGAGAGCCAAACTTTCCCAGCTCTAAACAAGGTAGTGGTCAGCGTTAAAGCCCATTCCTCTAGTAATGACACCAACAAGGCATCCAGCATTGTTCTTCAGGTGAGAAATGAGTCTCTTAGACTTCCATCCAGGCAAAGATGAACTGAATCCTTGTGCTGCATGTGCAGGAGAGATAAAGCGCTCTGTGTGTGGCAGAACGGGTGCTGTGATGGCAGAATATATCATATCTCTTCCTGCAGGACCCCTGCTCACAGTGTTGGCATTTAGCTAACCTAACAAAAGGCTAACAAAGGGATTTTTCATCATGGTGGCAAAAACAGATCGGTCGTCTCTTATAAAAGTGACCCTTATTTGAGCACCACTTGCATTACTTCACTTACTGAAAGCTTGCTTTCAGAATTGGCTTCATCAACGTCATTATTGACACAACTTTTTCCTTTCAAGAAGTGTGTCGATCCCTGTCAAAACCTCCTCTCCCTCCACATCAAGGTAGCTTTGAGTTTGCAGTTATTTCTTAGCATAAAAAATGGATCAAAGATGGAAATGCAAGTGATGCAGAGCTTGGGGAGAACAATTACGAGAGAGGGAACACTGCTTGACATTTATTATCCATAAAAACAAACACCTCGGTGCCCTTTAGTGAGGGCCTGGGTAAGGATAAGTCCCAAGAGAAGACATGGCTACCTGTAGATGTCAGTGCAGGTAACACTGACATCTCCCATATCGCAGTAAGACTTTGCCGAAGATGTATTGTCTCTGTGCATTTATTGTGTGTGTTGATACCAGGAAAAAATGACATCTTTGGAGAGATGATCCATCTCTTGGCCAAGCCTGGGAAGGCCAATGCTGACGTGCGAGCGCTGAGTTACTGTGACCTGAGCACCATTCAGAGAGAGGATCTGCTAGAAGTGATAGACATGTACCCGGAGTTCGCCGACTATTTCTTCAACAACCTCGAGCTTACCTTCAATCTCAGAGATGAGTCTCCAAAGGTAGGTGCGATCACATTTTCCTTACGGGAGCCCCCTCCAACTGATGCTTTTGCCATAGTTATGACTTTGGACATTCAAAAGTATTCTTGAAAGAACTATATTTATATTAAAAATGTTTATTTAGTTAATTAAAAATGTAATAATATTGTCAACTAGTTGTATTAATTAATCTATCATAATACTCACATGATCGCAGCCCTCGAGCTCCCATTGCGGGGATTCAGACGGCGAGGGCAATAAGAGCATTAAAAGAAGGATCTCCTTCACACCAGATGTATGTAAAGGTTAGTGGAAACTTGCACGTCTCCAATGCAGCCTCTTGTTGTTGCAAATGGGCTCTTTGTTACTATTAAGTGAGTGAAGTTCCCTAAGAGCACAGCACAGTGTTTTTTCGACCGATTCCTGTTGATTGTCACACCGCAGGCGAGGAAGTGGTCAGCGACTTGATTGCCGAGAGGGAGTCCAACTCGTGCCTAAGAAGAAGTTCAGAGGCCTCTCTGAACAGAGGTACCTCTCAACCCAAAGCCACAGTCCGGGACTCTAATCTTGTTGTCAGGGACAACGCAGAGAGGAGGCCGTCCTTCGAAGGTAATATTTAATATTAATATATTTAATTTGCTGAGTATGTTTGTTAAGGTTAACTGTCTTGACAAGAAGTGGCAAGGAGCTGTTGCTAGGGGCTCCTGGGTTTTAAAGGGTGAAATGCAGGACGACAGGAAGCCAGTGTGGGAAAATGTCCTTTTTGCTGGAGGATAAGCTTTAAAGACATGAAGACAAGAAGGCAAGAAGGCAAGAAGACAAGAAATATGTTGCTTAATAAACTAGAATGCTTAATACTAATTTGAGACATCACTCTCTCTTATGAAAGAAATACAGAATAAGAATAATAAGGGAATCACTAATATGTATTATTCTAGAGTCACAGATATGAAACTGAAGCTACATGAACTGACTAACAGATATAGTTGCCGGATTTCTACGGGCAAAGCCCATCCCACCGATACAACGGGCAGAGGACACCATGTTATAGCGTTAATCTCTACTGTTGGACGGACACAGAACACATCCAGCCATCGACGGTCAGGGCACACACAACATCCAATAAGGGTCAAGCCACCGGCACAGACTCCTTTACCAGATAGGCTAATCACAGCATGCGCCTGTGTGTGTGTGTGTGTGTGTGTGTGTTTAAAACGACAAAAGAGGCTGAACTCGTATCAGGGGACAGCAAACGGAACACTAACAAGTGCCCGGCAGAGATAACAACGCGGTGGGTTTGCTCCTGGAAAACATTGCGTTTGTTCTCCCAGGTCAGGAGCTTGATGGATTAAACAAACAACCTTTCCGCGGCTCTCATGTAGAGATTAATTACGTTCCGTTTTAGTCGGGGATTTCTGACCCACATGTGGGGATGTAAAGCATTTGTGTTGGTTTTGGCTACCCAGATCTTTGCTGTGATAAATGGGCCAGTAAGAAGCCTAAGGACTACCTGGATGAGTCAGCGCATCTCCAGGACCTGAGAGGGGACGATAACTCTGCCAGCGAGATCACGTACGGAGAGGTGGAACAGCGCTTAGGTCAGCTGCAAGACCACCTCAACAGGTAGAGACAGCAGAGTTCAACAGGGGATTACGCCAGAAAAGGAACCAGTTTATTAATCATCATGAAAGTGTTCCAGTGCAAACGGTTTATTTTGGTCAACCGCACAGACATTTCTTTTACTTTTTAATTCATCATCGATTTATCTAGTGCTTCATATGTAAATCGGGAAGTGCTGCTAAATAGAGGAAGATTTTTGCTGGAGAGAAATAGTCCCTTGAAGCTTGGAGCACATTGAACAAGGCGTAGGTGCTAGTTGTTAAAACCAAACTCGCTAAAAAATAACAACAAAGAAGACGAATCACTTATTTAACAGCATTCACAATAGTCACTCATGATTGTCGTGGAAACAGCAGTTTATGTAAGTTTGCATCTCTGTCTCTCAAACCCTTAATGTGTCCTTCTGTAAATCTATACTGTTTTATTAATATGGACAGCATCACAGTGCCACACAAACTATACACTAAGAACTGTTTTAGTTCTTAAAGTTTCTAGATATGGCATTTTTATAGTTTTCTTGCCAGAGTAATATCTGGCAAGAAAATCTGGAGGGAATTTCTTCCGAATTTGGTGACAGCATCCACTTGGGCTTGAGGGTGAAATGTTTCAAATTTGAGAAACAAAGTTAACTCCCCTAAATCTTTTTTGGCCCCAACTGAAGAATTCATGCGTTAATTATGACCATTTTCTACAAGTGCCTGGGAAGAATTGAACAGGGAGGCAGTAATTGAAACTGGACAATGCAATTCATGGTTATCATTAAATATCCCGCTATTACTATTTCAGCTATGTGACTTAATGATGATAGCGTGCCTAATAATTCAGAGTCGTCACCTCCTACACTGCTGAAAGTAAGTCACTCTCTTCCATCACTGGCGACTTGTAGATCAATTGCAATGTACCTGGGGGGGGCGGATCTAAAACTCATGATTTAGAGCAGAATATGTGTGAAAAGTCTTTGAAATAAAAAGCCACTTTCTAGCTAACCTCTAGAGACGACATTACCTGCAGCTCAAACACTAGATGAGCAAGCCAGCTACCTCTCCAGAGGCAATACATTTTAGTCTCATTTTTTTCTGTAGCGGAGAACTACATTAGCTGTAGTTTTAACAACACACCTGCAGCCTGAAGGCCACCTGAGATAGACACACGAATGAACAGGAGGTAGTATTTTTAGCTGGAATAATGACAGAGAACAACCGTAAATACCAGGTTGGCTCATTTTAATTTGCTTAAATATGATTTTATCCAAAGTACTTTACCCCATTAATGCAACCTCGCTGCAGGATGACGAGCATGTTTCTGTCATTTAGGGCTTTTGAGGCTTTAACTGGTCGGAAAAGATGTGATGAAAAAAATTCAAAATGCTGTTGTTGCACAGTGTGGCTGCTTTATCCCCCATCAGTCATAATCTATGAAGAACAGCTGCCTTGTTATAAGTGAAATAGGGAAGCTCAGAGACACAATAGTGACATAAGACATATGGCATTGCCCTTGTACATTATAAGGAATACAAGTAATCATGAGGTTGTCCAGCATTACCTAATTTGCGTGATGATCTAAATATAGAGCTTGGATGAAATCGACTCATAATTAGATTCACCAAATGAGGGTGGTACAGAGATTTCCTTAGTCAACGTTAAATTCACACTCCCCTCGGAGAGCTCATTATCACACCTAGCATGACTAGCGTCTTTACAATTCTGGCAGAATTTCCACTCCTTTATCATCTCTTCATTTGTCCACAAGCTCAAGGTGGTGCTCGGTGAAGTACAGCTGGGTGAGTTTTAAGCTAATGCATGATCAGACTTCATCTCCTCTGTGATCATCTTTGTTTTTTTTAGGCTGGAGTCTCATCTGATGACAGATATTCAGACCATCCTGCAGTTGCTGCAAAGACAACCGACGCTGGGACCTCCAGCCTACAGCACTGTGACTGCCAGTCCGGACTATCACAGACCTGCTGTGAAGGCTCAGCCGGTTGCACTACCTGCGAGCTATTTTTTCAGCCATACAGGAATTCAAGTAAGGAAGTTTTCAGCGGTAGAGACAGTTTTTTCCTCACACAATAAGTTATTTTTTGCAATTAATATTGTGAAGCATTGCATTTTTTTCTGGCAGAGCATGGAAATCATACCTTAGCTGGCTTATACAATCACCAGTCAAATTCTCACCATGATCATAAGTGTTGTTGGAGGAGACGGTGAGGCAGTCTCTATAATCACACAAGTTCCCACTGTTTTATATGGCTTTGCTGAAGACTGTTTTGAATGATTGGTATGTCTGCTATAGATTTTGTTAGAAACTCTGGAAAATCACTGGAAAAAATCCGAGCCACTACGTGAGGACATCACAACTGGCTGGATGGCATAAGCTTCACCCATATTGGAGTCAATACAAGCTAAAACAAGTAGTAGGGTTTTCACTATGTTTAGATTGTCTTGGGAAGTTTTTGTACATACATTTTACATAGAGTAATCTGTATTATTTTGTTTACAATATTACATTTTTCTGGAATTTGTAACTTATCCTGGACTTGGGAGAAAGTTTTGAATGAAAACAAAATGTATTGGTTGCATGAATAAACCTGGTTCATTTTTTTTAATAAATACATTCTGGCACCCTTCTTCTTAGGGCGCCAATCCAAAACTGGAGGCCATTGAGGAATCCAAAGACTCTCTGTCGAGCTTGGCCAACGTGAATGCCCCCATCGAGGGCAGCCTTACAGCACTGCTTGTACAGAGACATTCAGTGCCGCAACAACCGATCAGAGGGTATCAACAGTCTGCACTGATCCATCTTCCACCCGAAACATCTTCCACATCCTCCTCTTCCTCCCCAGCCCCTTCTGACTGCAACCTGAACACCACTGGACTCAATAGACCCGTGTCAGACTCAGAGTTTCCGAGGTCATAAACCTTCCAGCAAAACGTGTTCTAATATCTGGGTTGGATTGCTGTAATTACTGTTTAAGTAGCGGCTTTTTATCGGCATGCCGACACAGAGATCTGTATTGTTCATTTGTATTGGCTTGGTAATAGTATAAGATGTTCTTTTTTTTCATCATGCATGTGAAAACAATACTGTTGCTGCAGTTACAGTAACAGTGTGTTTAACTGTTTACTGCAGTTTTCAGTGGAATAACAATGGTTACATATTGTAACAGCAGTTTTATTAACAATGAAGCTCTCTGACGGACCCTTTAGGCAGCAGATTTATATTGGAATACACAAGTAGATTCCCAACCAATCGGAAAATAAATCTATTTAACGTAACCGAGAGTGACCCTATCGAAGGAAGGCACTTCCCCATTTACTAAGTCGCCAGCCTTCTGACTAAGTTCAACAGGAATGCTGGTTTAATACTTCCACCTGGTTGTGATAGAACCAACACAAGAATTCCTAATCAACATTCTCTTTCAATCCTCTTTGTTCTCCAATGGGCTCTAATGGACTCTGCAGCTATTTTTCGTGACTCAACTTGTTATGTTCCAACACATGATTGGTCATACTGGCCTAGACTGAGTAGGCAAGAGAGTGAACACCACACATTCAGTATCAAATTGGGTTTGCACTTAATGCGTGGTCCCCAGGAAGAGAGAAAGAGAGATGTCGAGCTAACTGCTCCTCGTCATCCCCAGATAAGGTTCCTGTAGCAGCTGAAAATGCTTGGCAACATCTAAAAATAGACCAAAGAAAGGTACAAAATTGCTAAATGCATTAGGCATAGTTAAAACAGCTTTTCTGGCTTTTTATCACCCTTTCGTTTAAGTTTGAGTAAGAAGAGGGGAAGATTTTCTCCCGATAACAGAGAGCAGGTACCACTCAGTGAAAAAATGGCCCTGGAGAACGCAAATGCAACTGATCTTCCTGGGCTTCAGTTTATGGAGACCTTGTGATGGAGACATTGAGATGGAGACCTTGAGATGGTGACCTTGAGATGGAGACCATGAGATGGTGACCTTGAGATGGAGACCTTCAGATGGAGACCCTAAAATGGAGACCCTAAAATGGAGACCATGAGATGGTGACCTAGAGATGGAGACCCTGAGATGGAGACCATTAATGGAAACCCTGAGATGGAGACCATGAGATGGTGACCATAAGATGGTGACCTTGAGATGGAGAGCCTGAGATGGAGACCTTGTGATGGAGGCCATGAGATGGACACCTTGTGCTGGACACCTTGAGACATTGAGATGGTGACCTTTGTATGGAGCGATGGAGGCAGCCAACTACTGTCACCAGATTCTGCCAGCAGCTTTCAAGTCCAAGCTGAGACTTGGAAGCCAGAATGTGAGCCAAAGCTTGGACACCGCTCCCCATCGCCTTCATAAGCGTACTGGGTGAAAACGTAAAGCATGAGAAAAGCCATTCTTCTTCCAGCTGAACCGTTTGCCTGGCACCCGCCTTCGAGGCGCTTATAAGGCGATAGGTCGGAGCACACAGGGTGAACATCCTCTGCTGGGATGTTGGCTACATTTACACCCTCAACAGTCACTGAGGAACCTGGTGTGTCCTGTTTTTCCTTTTTAGTATAAAGCCTCCGTTTGATGCGTACACAAACTCTACCACTTGGAGGACCTGCATATGAACAGATAACTGTTAATGTAACACAGCATTGTTCCAAAGGTGTGAGAACAGTTTTCTTATCCATAGTCGTATGCCTGTCTTCTCTGGTGTGACTCAGGGGTTATGGAAAATTGCACTGCAGTACATAGTTCATTATCAAGTAAACGGTTCTTTTCTTCTTAAAACAATGTGCATTATTATTGTGCGACACTGAAGTGCACGACATTAGGCCAACAGAACGCACCATACGTGCTTGTCGGGTATCATAACATGCAGATTTACAAGCATTCGGCTGTTATCTCAGAGCTAGGATTCTGACAACCAAGTATGATGTAGGAGTTTCTACATGGCTGTGCATGTGTTTTCTATTAATATATTTACTGTTTTGCACTGATTTTGAGCCCAAAGTAGCACATTACAATGTAAGATGATGTCATTATGTTTGTCTCTTTTTAGGATGCACATAAAGGGTGTGAGGGAAAATGGGAGGGGAGAGAGGGGAAGAGGAAATGAGCAATTCCCCATAAACAGGCCCAAGAGAGGGTTTTGTGCCTATACAACAAATCCAGAAGCAAAGTTAGCATCGTCATGTATAACTTAACATAACATCATTGAAGCATATTGTTTTCCTGTACCGTTTGTGTTGGCAATGTACATTTAATTCAAAATAGTCTTCGACAATTGTTAGAAGATACATCACGTTGCATGATGTAAAAAAAAATACTTTTTTTTACTGAGTAAATTATATGAAAAACTCATTAGAAAAACAGTAGTAGATGTTTGTTTTGAAGCTGTGGGAGCAATAAATGAAAACACACTTCTAGTTTTGTCTTTCTCTTTATACGTCCATAATGGTGTACTAACAATGCAAATACAAATTACTATACTATTTATTCTCTAAAGGTGCAAAAGCTATTGAATTAATGTATTACATGACAGGTGAGGCCCGGCAGTTATTCAATGTACCAATGATACCAAAGGAAAAAACTGTGCCTGCACCTTTGCAGGAGCAACATGGTAGAAAAAACACCAGTGTGTGTGGTGGAAAGTTGTGGATTAAACCCTTGTGAGAAATCAAAAGTATCTTAAACTTGCTTGTGATTAAGTATTTATTACTAACTAGAATATAGAAACATAATAAAGAATACAGGAATCATCAACACAAGCCATAAGTACAGACAGAAGTCAAATTATTCAATTCAGCTGAAAAGAGGCAGATCCTGGACCAGGAGTTGACAAAGGTTTTTGGGGAGAACAGGAGCTTTTAGGGAGAGGGTTGTGTTGTTCAAACAGAAGACCCCCCCCTTGCAAAAGGAATCTCAGTAGGAAACAGATGTCGCAGGGAGACACCCGTGACCCAGGCAACCATGTTTTGACAGACAACAAATGATCAATAAAGGCAAAAAATGGATTCCAGCTGCGAAAACACCTTATGGCCGCCGTGGACTAGGTCAGGTCACAGGTTTTGCGAGAAAGGTCACACACAAAGTTCCTGGGAGACTCACAATATGCAGATCAACAGTGGGAATGGACTTGGTGTGTTGGGCTTTTAACTAAGTGTCATTCTACTCACCTTTGAACAAAGTTCCTGACATGTTATTCTAATAATAATAATAAACAATGCAACACCCCTTTAAACAACTATGTATGAAGAGCAGTTATTATTATGTGACACTGTACAAATTGAAAGACATCCATAAATTCCCTTAGACATTTCCTATCAAGAGACATATTATTGGAAACTATACCGATGCAATCCTGACACCTACCGGTAGATAGTGGATTTCATACGGTCGTTGAAGATCCCGACAGTTTATGAGAAAACGAAAGCAAAACCTAGATAGAATGAATCATCTCTTTTTTTATACCCAGAGTCGCTGGAGCCGCCGTGTAGACACCGAACACCGAACACCGTCCACCGGGCCCCGGAGCTGACCGGGGATCGGTCGTAGCCTGCCATGGAGTCCGAGAGCGACGAAGTGAAGGAGCGCCTCATCGAAAGCTTCACGCCGAGGATTCGGCGGCTCATAGCGGTGAACCGGGTTCTGGATCACATGCACTCCCTCGAACCCGGCCTGAAGGAGCGGATCAGACAGAGGGCGGCCACCGACGGCGACTCCGCGGCCGCGGGAGACCTCATCTCCGCGGTCCTGAAGAAGCCGCGCGCCGCCGGCTGGTTCCGCGCGTTCGTAGACGCGCTGCTGCACTCGGGCTGCGAGTCCGCCGCCGACTACATACAGACTCCGCCTGAACCCGAGGTGGAGGCAGAGAACGATTACTGTGTCATGCTGGTGGAGTTGCTCTCTCCGAGTCTGGTGGACATGAAAACTGACGTCGTGTGCCACGAATGTTTCTCGCAAGGCCTCATCAACCAGGACGACGACGAGATCGTGAGTGCGCCGATCGTATTTTATTGTGGAGAGAAATGCAATATAAAGCACAACATTGTCACAGCACCGGTGTGCAGCCTTGAAAAAGAAAAAAGTTGTGGGTTGTTTTTCTTGTCCCACATTTGCCTGGAAGTTGTATCGGCGGTGATTGACCACAAGATGGCAGACAGGTGCAAGGCTACTCATCTGTTGCAAGGTGCCCTCAATGTCATATCATAAAACTAGTCGATTGTTGTGATCATGCTGCAGATTAGAACTTCAACTGCAAACCAAGGAAACGGGAGCGGAGCCCGGGAACTTCTCAGACGTATCGTGAGAGGTCGGCCTGGATGGTTTTCTGACTTTCTCGAGATTCTGCGTAAAACTGAACACCAGTACCTGTACGAGCTGACTGGAGGGCCACCTGACTCTGACAAGACAGGTGACCTACCCTCCTCCCCCCCCTCCAGCCAAGGGACAGTCACCAGTGAATGTATCGATGTTTGGTGGAGATTGTTGATTCAATTAACTGCTTCAAGCTTCATTTGTTTATTGCTCATTAGGCTCGGAGGATAAGCTGCCTTCGGCGAAGGATGAACCCATGGAAACGGACGCCCCGGCGGCCGCTGAACGCTGCGGTAGCCTGCAGTTAATGGACATCACCTTTGCGGAGGAGCCTCAGGGTGAAACAGGTCTTGCGCGACACCTTTGCTCAACAATCTGTAGAACATCTTCAGATGTCAGGCGTAAACAGCTGGCAGCCGTCCTGGTTCAGTAGCCTTTATATTTATATTGATCAAGTGAAAAGGAGGAATCTAAACTTACATACTGTACAGCGGGCATTTTATGGGTCAGTTTACCCAAATCATAAAATGTATGTGTTACTAGTTAAAATGTGCTTGATACAATGTTTTATAGAATTTCAAGGCTAAGCGGGCCTTTGTATTCTCATGAATAACTCCGACGTCTATCTACTATCTGGATCTGCAACTATCTGGATGCTTAGAAACCACCAGGGGTACACTTTCCTCATTTTGGTTTGTGCTATTTACAACAGAGAGTCTAAGACAGTGACAGTGATTATCAGAGCTTAGTTCACGCAGTATCTCAGTATGAGCTGTGTCTTTCTTTCATAGTTTCAAGGGCCAGGACTGCTGCATTTCATCGCAGTTTTATAAACCGTTGTGCTAAACTAGAACTTGAACTATCTTTTCAGACCTGTATGGAGGAGCTCCGACTGAATCCAGTGAACTCTCAAAAAGTTTCAAGCCCTCACAACCAGGTGGGACTGATGCACCATCACTCACCCTACAGTAGTTAATACTGTTCAAACACTCAAAGTATGTTAGTAATCTAAAAAGCTTGTTCTGGTCCCACTGAAAAAACAAACTCAAGTCCTGGGACCAGAAATGTGCACTGGATGCGCCGATGCCTTTTAGTGCCGTGAAAGCGGAATGAGTGTGTTTGGAATGTGCTGAAAGTGGAACTTTTTTTTGCTGCCTAACACCAAAGAATAGGTTCCATGTGTGTACCATGATGGACCACACAGAGGTCAAAGAGGACAAAGCTTAGCCAGCACTTCAAATGAAAAACACATGCTGCCATATTGGCATACTAGAAAGCAACGTGAAGGAAAAGTTGAATTCAAGTTGCTTGGCAGTGTGGCCCTTCATTGCACCCATAGACTTATGGTATGCGCCATTTGGTTTGGTTGTCTCAAATGCTATTGCATTATCTGTCAATGCATTGTGCTCTTATGAAGTGCCTTTACAACACTGTGTTTGCGTAATAGAGGAGGGCTTTTGGGAAAACTACCGTGGAAGTGGAAATAATTACACGATATGAAGAAATGCAGGAAGGTTAATGTCATTAAACGGGCCGGTTAGCCAGTTTGCATGGATTATATAAACATTATTACATGTAAGATTGTTCACTGTGCCGTCGGCACAGACATGTATTTACTTCTATTTAAGTCCCTGAAACAGCCCTTTAACCTCTGGCATATCACGTCTGAGAGGGAAAATTAAAAGCTGTCTGCACAGAGGGGGAAAAAAAGCTTTCCGGGGGATTGAACTCATAACCTGGGGGAAAAGTAGAACCTCCAGCTGAAGGTAGCGGGGAGGGAGGGGGTCCATCCACTGCGTGTGCGTTGCATCCCCGGCCTAGACAGAGCAAATGAGTCGCAGCCCGCCAGCGACTTCAAGTCTGACTGGAGAAAATCCTAGAAGGTTTTCTGTCCTTGCAAACAGAAAAATAAGAGAAAATGCCACCACAAACAGGGATATGTTACTGGAAGTGAATCAAAACAATTTGAGAAAATCAAAATGACAAGCAGATGACTAAGACTAAGAAATCTTTATTTGACTAAAATTATTTATTAAATGAAAATGTTCACATATTGACTACTGTACACAAGGCATGTCTTTTTATAGGTGTTCTGTCGTTAATTATGTTTTTATTCTCGTTTTAAATCCGCTGTCGGGAAAGTCGGAATGCTCTGTGTTCATCTTTTAAGAGGAGAGCTCGATCCATGAAATCTATTCTTAAAAATGTGTTTTTCATTTTTGGTAGCAGCCTTCAGGAAACATTCCACCGCGAGACCAAAACCACACACAATGACAAGCGCAGTTGTTGCCTGCTCGTCATGCCTGTAATTGTGTGACTAGAACTTCTGTCCGTCTGCTCTGCGTTACAGATTCGGGAGCGGCTGACGGAGGCCCAGAAAAAGCTGATATTGTTCTTCGAGATTATCAGATGGACGTTGCTAGTCCTGCCTTGGAGGGGAAAAACATCATCATATGCCTCCCGACAGGAAGTGGTAAAACCAGAGTTGCAGTTTATGTTACAAAAAAACATCTGGACGGCAGGAGGGCAGAGGGGCGAGCAGGGAAAGTGGTCGTCCTGGTGAACAAGGTACAACAACTTGACTAGAAAACCCGCTTGGCTTCGCACCACTGTGCTGACCTGCTGGTCTGCTTTTCAACTCGAAAAACCCCCAAACATTCTTCCACTCCGTTTGAACATGTGGGTGAGCTCGTCACAAATTACATGCTATACGGTTTAGACTTTCCCCTGCAATTTGGTCCCATTTGGTCTGCATGTGATCTGCTCTGCACTGGAGAAAGACCTCTGCTTAATCCATGTTGTATTTCTTTAGAAATAGTGATTTAATGTGACTAAAAACGATCACAGTGGTTCACATGTGAACAGAATAATAACAAGTCACTTTTCAGCAGAAGCAGGAGAAACTTCTGCCAACGATAAAAGTGTTTACATCCCGGCACAAAAAACGTTGTTGTTAAATAAACAAAAAGACCCTATAAGAGCTTTCTATTGGTAGAAATTATGTCGTAGCACTGAATGTTCTCTGGTGTCTTGCAGGTTCCTCTGGTTGAGCAGCATTACTCTGCAGAGTTCTTGCCATATTTGAAGTCCACTTACAACGTGGAGAGAGTGAGTGGAGACTGCCAGCTCAAAATCTCATTCACAGACATCGTGAAAAATAGCGACGTCATCATCTGCACAGCCCAGATCCTTGAGAATTTCTTGGAGAGGTCGAACAAAGGAGAGGACGAAGGGGTGAACTTGAGCGGTACGTTTTTGCAATGTCGTTTTTCCAAAAGCGGGAAGAAACTAATGCAGATATGTCCAAAACATTTCCTTTGCTCAGTAGTACCCTTAAACCAGCTCACTGCTCCAAAATGGACCGGAATCAAAACTGAAAATAAAAATGTTTTTTTGTTTTATTTTTAAAGGGATTCAAAAACCTTTAGTTGAAATCTGTTCAGGCTTAAACCACAGACACTGACAGGTTTTGGAATAGAAGCCACCCACCGGACTCATAACATCTCCCCTGATGATACCTGACAAGATCTTGTCAAAGTCTTCCGGCTCTGCTTTTCACTATTGTTGGCACTCACCAGTCCAAGGTGGAATAGCCACCTCAGTGGAACATATGCTGTTTGTTGAAACGCCTGAGAGCGTGTCCTTTTTTCTTTTCTTTTTTTTTCTACCTCCTGCCTTCCAGGCCACACGTCTGTTCAACCCATCAGTGTGCGGCTGATCAAATTCACATGAGACCTTCTATCACCCACAGAACATCGAGCTGCCACTCCTCCGTTCCCTTCTCCCCCGCCGGGGACACATTTGTATCAATGGTTAAACTTTTTCGCGTGAATGATTACAATACACCTCATTCAGACTTTTGTAAAATAAAAAAATAAGTAATGAGAGTTGAAGCTATTTTGGACATTTTTCTAGCATATGTTGTTGTGTGGCTGAATCTGCTGACTCCCCTGCTAAGTGCTGGTATGTGTGTGAGGATCTCTCTCACAGACTATAACCTGTGAGTTAAAACCACCTCTATCCATTCAAGAAATACATATAAATGCCATAAAGATGTCCCTGCTCTGGTTGAGGAATAGCTAGTCACTGGCTGGTAATAATACAGTTGGACTTGCAGAAATGTTATTGTTTGGACAAAGCAAGTAGTAATGATGCCCTGACGATATTCTTACCAAAGAGTCTCTCAATCTCTTTATCGTCACCCTCCTGCCTTTTTATGACTCAACCTCCTTTTGTTACTCTGCAACACGTGCATTTATGTGTCTGGCCGCCCCGTCTTCTCTCGGTGCAGATCTGTCGCTGATCGTAATAGACGAGTGTCACCACACACAGAAGGGTGGAGTCTACAACCACATAATGATGCGCTATCTGGCGCAGAAGCACAAAAACCGAAGGCTGGAGAAAGAGCAGAAAGTTCCGATGCCCCTCCCTCAGATCCTGGGCCTGACTGCCTCACCCGGTGTCGGGGGGGCCTCAAAAATCGGGAAAGCTGAGGACCACATACTGCGCGTAAGTGCCATTCTCGACTTCCCTGCCCACACCCGGGTAGACAAAAGCAAAGGGCACGTACCTGGTAGTGTAACGCAAGCTGATATAACACGCTCAAGGTTAACGCCATGAGAATCACACAGGAGCTTTAATTAAGTTCACACAGATATTCACATGTGAAAATTAGCACAATAATTGTCCTTCGTTTAGCTTCACACTCATCTTTCGCTCATCTAGGTCTTGACGTTTCTCTGCTTTAGTCATCGGGAAAGCTGTTCATCCAGCCGAGGCGGTTGCAAATGTTCCACGCGGCCATAAAGTTCTCCCGTCCCCCAAAAAAAAGTCAAAAATTGAAAACAGCCTTCTGGCTTCTGCTCGACTGTGCTTCACATGCAGAAATGGCGTGCAGCCAGTTAAAAAATAACGTGTGTCTTTTTCATAGATTTGTGCAAACTTGGATGCTCACAGGATCATGACGAAGGACCTTGGGCAGTACCAAAGGGAGCCAAGGAAACTCATTAAAACTGTTGAAGACAGAAAAGAGGTAAAACAAAATGTAGCAGCGTACCCTGACGGCAGCTTTTTTTCATAGTTTCTCTCTTTGAGGAATAGCTAATAACAGTGTTGTCCCTCTGTGTCCGTTTTAGGATCCCTTCGGTAACGTAATCAAGAACATCATGAATGCCATTCATACACATGCCGAGCTGAGCCCCACTTCTGACTTTGGCTCTCAGAATTATGAGCAGTGGGTTGTTCTAAGAGAGCGAATAGGTGGGCCTAGTTTGTTATGGTCCCATTCAGGGATTCCTTTATCCCGAATCTCTTTTCAAATGAAGCTGCTCGACTTCTTGTATCTAAAACCAGTCTCAATCCGTTCTAGCTGCAACAGAGGAAAATCAGAAGGTGCGAGTTTGCTCTGAGCACCTTCGACAGTACAACGAGGGCCTGAATCTCAGCAACACCATCCGCATGCGTGACGCCTTCAGCTTCCTGAACACATACCACGAGGAGGAGTTAAAGAAGAAAACGACTCCGGACGAGGAGCATGTGATAAAGATCACAGATACTGAGAAATTCCTCTTCAATTTGTTTAAAGGTATTTGGGTGTTGGGAATAAGCCCCAGTGACTTGTCGTCAAAACTGTTTCGACATTTTAAGTCATTAAGTGTATATTCTTTCTTGCCTGGAATTGGAGTAGCTGGCTAAAATATCAACACCACTCTACTATCAGTAAATATAAGACGAGTCGTGGTTTACATGTGCACGATTCTGAAGGTTTGCCTCGTAACCCAAAGGCAATAAGACTGGACGCTAAACTCCTGAACACCTACACGTGGTAGTATTTTCATGGATCAATGTATTTACCAAGTTCCTTTACATCAATGCTTTGAAATGTGGTGTCTTGCAGAGAACAGGGAAGAGCTGCAGAGACTTGCGGAAATGCCAGAGTATGAAAATGACAGCCTGTCAAAACTAAGGAGTAAAATTCTTCACGAGTTCAGCAGCAGGGAGGCGGCCAGAGGGATCATCTTCACCAAAACACGTCGCAGCGCCATCGCCCTAAGTCAGTGGATTCAGGAAAACCCAAAGTTTGCTGACATTGGAGTGAAAGCCTCCTATCTGATTGGGGGAGGAGACCAAAGCGTTGTTAAACCGATGACCACCGTGAGTGCGCATTTCGCCAACTGCAGCACGTTAGCATTCAGCAACCTGCGAAGTTGAAATCGCCATTAACCTCAAACTTGTCATTCATCAGGCCGAGTCAAGGGACGTGCTGAACAAATTCCGCAATGGCAAAGTCAACTTGCTGATTGCGACCACGGTTGCAGAGGAGGGTTTGGACATAGCGGCGTGCAATTTTGTCATCCGCTACGGCCTCGTGACCAATGAGATCGCTATGATTCAGGTCAGTGATGTCGGTTGTCCAATGACACCATAGACATCACTATGCATATGGGTTACTGGGAAAATAGTAACCATTGACTGCGATCCACTTTTGCAGGCCCAAGGCAGAGGAAGAGCCGAGGACAGCAGCTACACTCTGGTCGAGGTGAAGAACTCTGGGGTAGCAGAGAAGGAGCGCGTCAATGAGTTCCGTATCACTATGATGAACAAAGCCATTACCAACATCCGAGCCTTAGATCAGGCGGACTATGACAAACGGGTACGTTCTCTTTACACTGCAAGTTACATTCCAATAAGAGCACTCGGGTTGATTTTTTCTTTTCGTTTTTCTACTATCCTTTTCCTCAGATCTTGGAGTTTCAGTTGCAGGCCATAATGGAGGGGAAAGTGAGAATGACTAAGAAGAAGAAGAAAAACATGCAGGACCTCAAGGGCGAAGTGAAGTTCAGCTGCCGAAGCTGCAGCAAACACGTCTGCACCGGCAATGACATCCAGATCATCGAAGACATGCACAGAGTCAACGTCACACCCGAGTTCAAGTACGAACCGCATCGTTCCGTGATGTAAAAACTGTCCGACACAGTGGTGGTAACGCGGTTTCCGCTCTTTCTCTTCTACAGACAACTTTTCATCGAGAGAGAAAACCCATCACTGCAAGAGCGGTTTCTAGATTATGAGACCAATTTCTACATAGCATGCAAGGACTGCGGCCAGGTAAATGTACTTGAGAAAGATGTCTTTCTCTAAAGGTGACAGTTTGGAAAATGTACTTATTTGCTTTTTTGCTAACGGTTAGATGAGAGGGTTAATACTACTTTCACGTCAACAATCAGGAAGACTGGCGGTGTGCAGCTGTCTTTTTAAACAGAACAACGTTGGGTACAAAAACCGAACACACCCAAATAAGTTGGAACGACAATGAGTCAGTGCATCACATGAGATATAACTACAACCAGATGACTCCCTATGTGTTTTTCACTTCAGGCCATGACTGACTAATACCTCTTCTTCGTTTGCCATTTTCCATTCAAATGAAATCAGAGCTGAACTCTCTGTGTACACATACCACCTTACCGCCCCTGATTTCCCTTCCCAGAGATGGGGTTCCATGATGCTCTACCGTGGGATCGATTGTCCGAGCCTCCATGTGAAAAACTTTGTGGTGACTTTCAACGAAAAGAAGATGAGCAAATGCACCAAGTGGGGAGACCTCCCCATCCGCTTTCCCGTCTTTGACTACGCTGAACAAGCGAGCCGCGTGGCAGAGAGCTCAGATGACGAAGATTGAGAAGCTGAGTGAACCCACTCGGTCGTTTTTCCTGCAGTTTTCTAAACTTTGACTTTCGAAGAATAAATTGCTTCACCCATCTCACTTTCAAATGCAAGGCTTCTTCAAAGTGCTACAATATCATGATAACTGGAGTCACTGACGGTGATGGATTTAAGCATGTTCTGCAAAACATGAACTAGAATTATTGGTGAATGGGATGTCATGTCTTGAACTCACTGCCGAAACTCAAACACAGCGATAGAACAAATGTGCATGTTGTGTCCTTGCCTGATACAGAACGAACTGGGAAACTTGATTTCCCTCTTGAGGTCTCCTGAGATTGGAACCACCGTGCCTGTGATCGCCCCTCAGAGTCCACCTGTCAACACACATGCAGACAAACAAGTGCTGCTGGTGATTTTCCATCAAATTAAGTCACAGCTGCTATTTATAGAACTATTCTTAAAGGTTTCCAGAGAGACACCTGAGCTTTCTAATTGTCCTCATGCAAGTCGCAGTGTTCCTTGATTCATAAAAAACTGTGTCCAACATCTGGGCGCGTCTTTTCATTGTTTAATTGCATTTTGTGTGTTAACATTCTAATAAAAAAAAACAATCTGTCCACTAATCACTTGTGCAACGCCATTATTGTGTATCGCCGTTCTCCACAACTGGAAAGTATCTGTAGCCAGATTCTGGCTTCATTCGTTGAATGAGGGAATGTCTCGCGCCATGGTGAAAAAGCCACTTCCCAAAATACCAGCAAAGTTGTGCGCTCTTGGAAAGTTGTGCAGGCGGACTTCAGGGAGGCATCTCCGTCCCGCCTGGTGTCGGACTCCTCTCAGGAATGCAGCTTCCACTAAAAGCAGGACGAAGCTCCCGGGTGTTTTTTTTTTGCCATATTTAGTTTAAAAACAATTGTTCCGAGTTTACTTTTTGTTGTTGCTGCCGCAGTTGGAGCATGTTGAGCAGGCAGCTGGTCCAAGAAGTCACTTCCAGCTCCACGCCGTCGACCTTCGAGGATCATTAACGAAAACAAAAAAAAGACTTTGAGAGACTTTCCCGGCGTCGTCTTCTCCAGCACCGTCATGGTCAGTAATGGATTTATCAGCTTAAATAAAAAACAAACTTTGTGGTTTGTCAAACATGAATTCATCATTGTCAAACGTCAACTCGTTTTCAACGTGCACAGTTTATTTCGGGACGAATGCACCGCGAAATCTGCAGTGTCAGCTGTATTTCAGCAGCAGGGCGGTTTTCGTGTCACCTTTCGCAGGGCTGCAGCAAGCTGCTGATGGGGGCGACGGGGGCGGCTGTCGTCATCACGTTAATTACCATCTGCGCCGTTTATTACAGCAGTAAGTCAACGATCGGGCCCGACCTGTGTGTCCTCGTCTCTGTCTCTGCTAGGGTGGGCTGCTAGTGTGCAGCTCAGTGTGAAAACACTCTGAAGAAACAAAGAAATCAAGCGTTCATTTAAACAATATGCATGAACGCCTTTGATTGGCTTATTTCTATGTCTTTTGTTTACTTTGCTTTGCAGCCTAAATGTGCATATGTTTTGTTTGTCTCGTGTCAGTAACAAACTTGTCAACGAACTGACAAGGATTATATGATCTATAAGTAGTAATTTCATGGATCAACAGCGTAACGACACGCTGCAGGAAGTAACAGCTCCACCACGTGACGTGTAGATGGATGAGTTCTTTGAAAATATTTTCATTTATTTAGTTCAATATTTTTCTCAAGGTAATATTTTTTTTCTACAATGCCAGAAAAAAAATTCACTTGACAGTATGTAAAGTAGTAAACGACATTTTACATTAAACTGATGCACACATTACTGCATCACTAAATGTAATTTATTATAATGTATATTTTTCTGAAAAGGCTTGTTGCAATGATGAGTTACGTTATTTCGATGCTAATAATCATGTAGGCCAATTTTACTTGAGTGCAGTTTTGATGACTTGTGCGTGTCATTATCATCGTGGCCATAATGCAGCATGTGGATCATTTCAGGGTCTGAGGGTCCCAAAAGGCTATTCACCCTTGAAGATTACTTCAATGACACCATTAGGTGGAAATCCTACAATTTGTATTGGATATCAGGTAAATCTGTGAGTTAAACAGGTGTTTTTTGGGGCGTGTTGTGTACAGTACAAACCTCTCACAAGCTTTTTCTTTATTGTCTGTCGTACCTTCAGATAAGGAGTATCTGCATAAAACAAGAGATGGAAATGTCTTCCTCCACAATGCTGAAACCAATGACGCGTCACTCTATTTGAGCAATTCCACCTTTGTAATATATTTATATTATTTATTATTGAAACCAAAGATGCAGAATGATAATTGTATACTAATATTGTCAAAATTGTTATCATTGTAGGCTCAGGTGGATGCCACAGATTACATGTTGTCAGGTGATTATCGGTACATCGCTTTTGAAAGCAATTTCACAAAGGTGAGAAACTTCACCTTCATATTTTTTATGCATTATTTAGCTTTGAAAGAAAAGAAAAAGTTCATTGTACATGTCACCTTACAGATGATACCCAATAGGAAACAAAAAAACAATATAAAACCTTTGTTTTTGCACTCCAACAGAAATGGAGACATTCATATACAGCCTCTTACTCCATCTACGACAGGGAGAATTCGTAAGTTGCAGTCATCATTTCTTACTTCATGGTAGGACACACAGACTAACAAACCAAGGGATTTATTTGGTATCCCCCTAAATTACACATCATCTCTTCCCAGAACATTTGTTTTTCCTTCGACTCTTCCAACTGTTGTGCAGTACTTTTCCTTCGCCCCAAAAGGAAACAAATATGTAAGGTTACCGCCGGCACTCTCGTTTTCACATGCGGTTATAATGAACAATATTACAGCTGCTTTAACTTCATGGCTTTGAAACACGTTGTCATACTATGTGAGGCACCATGAGATGTTAAAATATATATATCTCATGTCCTGAAAACACACACAAATTAATGAAATACGTTTTATGGCTTTTTACCATATTCTTCATCAACAACTTTAACCACATTTTGATTTGCAGGCCTACGTCTCAGACTTTAACTTATTCTTCAAATCCCATGTTACTTCTGAAGCTATTCAAGTAACCCACAATGGGAAAAAGAATGAGATCCTCAATGGTGTCCCCGACTGGGTGTATGAGGGTAAGATCCACACTCTCTTCATCCGGCGTGCAACTGTGTCTCAGTGTGGAAGATGATTAACGATTTCCTTTATTTCAGAAGAGGTATTTGCGTCAAACGGGGCAATATGGTGGTCGACAACTGGAAAATATTTGGCTTATGCAGAGTTCAATGATACAAACGTTCCCAAAGTTGCGTTTTCCTGGTACGGAGCTGAGCAGTATCCGGAGACAGTGGCTATTCCATACCCAAAGGTGGGATTCAATATTTACACACATGCCTTTCCAAAGTAGGGAAAAAAGAGGGAAAAGATACTTTCCCAAGCTTTGACAAATGATTTTATTCATTGGCCAATTATTATATTGTTTATCTTCCTCACACACAATCATTTCGCAAAAACGCGACTGGATTTGTTGCAGGCCGGATCTCCCCTCACCAAGGTGAAACTGTTTGTCGTTGACACGACGAATCCGTCACGCCGCACACAGGTGTTCGCCCCTGCTTCCGTCGCTTCTGGGTCTGTATATCTTTCCCTTTCGCAGCATCAATTACAATCAAACTTCATTGAAAACCGAGGCAAACACAATGTCCTCACGGTCCGCTTTACCTTGTCACTTTCTGTTGCCTTTGCTCAGCGATCACATGTTGTGCTCAGTGACCTGGGTTACAGACCAGCGCGTCGCTGCGCAGTGGGTCACCAGAAAACAGAATTACGTGGTTGTGCAGGTCTACGATTTCGATGAAAGCGGCTGGCAGGAAAAACAGGTATCTCTCATGACCGATGTGCTGACTTCACGGTAATTAGAGGATACGCTAATTAACTCCAATAAATCTCTCTCTTGTCTAGAAATTTGAGCAAACAAGCAAGACAGGATGGGTCGGCCATGTACGTTTCCAATGGGTTGCCAGTAAATAATTGGGAATTATTTGTTTGATTTGATGTATGACTTTTATTATCACCTTTTTTCAGTACGTTCCCTTACCTCTTTTCTTTGCTGAAGATAAACTCAGTTTCTACAAAGTCATGAGTGACACTCGGGGCTACAAACATATTCATTTGGTGAAAGATGTAAGTATACTTCATTGACGCTTATGCAACGTTTAGTACGCAGTAGCTTTCACCATGTCTTTGGTGTTGACCGTTGTGTTCACTCATTTTGTGAAGGGCAAAATGACGCCTGTAACCTCCGGAAGGTGGGAAGTCATCTATATATCCAAGTTGACGAAAGATGCCATGTGAGTGATGATCCTGTACGCAAAACATATAAGAGAGTGAATACATGTAAATCTGACCCATGTAAAATGCCTTTCTTCAGATATTTTGTCAGTAACGAGTACCAGGGAATCGCTGGGAAGAGGAATCTTTACAAGTAAAGGAAAAGAGCACACTGAATATTGCAACGTGATGATGATGATCTTGCATGACGTTATTGTCATAAGTGACGTGAGTTGTTTTCTTAGGGTTATTATTGGAAGCGGCCCTTCTGCTACTCAGTGCCTCACCTGTGACCTGCATCAGGACCGGTGTCAGTACAACTCTGCCTACTTCAGCTTCAACGCCTCTTACTACCGAATGGACTGCTACGGTCAGTTACCCACCGTACATCCTCTCTTAAGCAATAACTCATTCGTGGCGTTGCGGTTCGTCTGCGGCGAGGAACGTCTGTAAACAATCATCTGTGCTAAAAACTTCCAAAGTGGTACAGAAGACCTGATATTTGATAAACTCTTTGTGCATTTTGTCATTTTGTTTTTGCCAGGACCCGGGTTGCCGCTCTACAAACTCATGGATAACAGGGGCTCAGTTTCAGGTCCGTTTCTTTTGCTAACCTTAAGGCAATTGTTGAATTATTTATTGCCGCCATTTTAGTTAATTCATATTACCATCTCACTTTATGTGCTGTTCAAATGTGCACAATTTTGAAGCATTACTTAATGACTTAAAATGTTTTCATTAAAAGTCAACCTTCATTGATAGTTATACAAAAGCAAAGGATACGATGTGTTGCAGTGATATCTGCTGCGTACTGATTCTGGTCTGGTCGTAGAGAGAGGTGGCAGATCTGAAAGGTTGACAGTTTGTGGTTTAAAAGTTTTAGTATGTTTGCGTTTTTGTGTGCAAATCATTAATTTCTAGCATAAACATTTCAATCATCCTTTTTGTTTTTCCATCAGAGCTCTCCATTCTTGAAGAAAACAAGCAGCTGGAAAATATTCTGTCAGAATTCCAAATGCCGACAATGCAGTATGGCACCTTAAAGATAGCCGGATATGGTGAGACAATAGAGTGCATGTTAAAATATCCCTTCCAGCATGTCAGGTTTCACAGTGCAGGTTTCACAGGTCTCTACCCAAGTACAGGTGAGCGCAGTGATTTAATAACAGAAAACCAAAACAGAGTCCAAAAATAATTGAAGATAACTATATATAAAACATTCAAACTGGGTTTCAGTAAATGTGAC